GAAATCACCAAATAGAAGCAAACACAAAGATTCCAATGAAAAGGAAATATCTAAAAGTCATCTTAACTCCTAGTAACTCACAGTGCAGAAAAGCTCTTTTTCATGGTCATTCTAAAGGGCCAGTGGAGCATATCTGGTGTATCTTCCATCAGAGAGAATTCTATTTACAAGGGGCTACCACAGAAAAAGCCCTGTTTCTCATACAGGCCAATCATCATGAACATATGCATTATGGGGAGGAGCACAAATGTAGCAATTCTTCACTATTAATGTAACATACCAGCTTTCCCCAACCTGATGCTCTGGACTACAGTTCCCATCATCCTCCACCATTAGATATGCTGCCTGGGGTAGATGGGAGTTGGGAACCAGCTAGTACGTACACCAACTTAAGGGTACAAGATGCCCTGCACAGAGAATACCCAGAAATCCATATTACCAGAAGTTGCAGGGCTTCAGCGAAAATGTCATTCTATAATGAAAAAGTTGGGGCTTTGCATTTCATGGTGTCCATTTAATTCTGCAACTTTGGGGCAACAGTTACAGAGAAAACAGAGAAAATGACCCCATGTGAGTGGAAGTAATTATTTAAATAACAGTGGGGCATGGCAGTGATTGAAAGGACCTTACCTTAGCCTCCCCAAACTGAGAACTTGAGAACTATTGAAAACCTCATATTTCTTACAGAACCGAATCCTATTGCTCCAAGATGTCTGCCAGTTTTCTGCACATGCAGCCCATTTTCCACGAATTTTCCACATGTCTCCATGAACACATTTGCATGGGGGAAGTTCAATATGAACCAATCTGAGTGTGGTGGATCTTTAGCTTATCAGCAGGACCAGAGAAGGGGTAAACTAGCTGCAATCACTCTGGGAACCCATTTGGGTGCACTAAACCATGATTTGGCCAAGACTGTATAGTGGTCACCAGTGGCTTCCATTTAGAAAGGGCAAAACACACACTTTGGGGAGCCAGCCAAGTTTGTTAACTTGGTGACTTTCAACTTGCCAACAAAACTTAATTTTCTCCATCCTTCTCCATCCATTTCCCGAAGTTACTTGGGAAGAAGGGTTGATTGTTAAACCACTCTGGGAACGGTGGTTCTGTGAGGGGAATAGGGGTGACAACGCTCAGCACCCTTAGCAGACTACATTTCCCAGGATTCTTTGGGGAGGAAGTCATGTATAAAGTGATAAGAATGATACTGCTTTAAACATATAAGTTTATATACCGTAGTTTTCGCTCCATAACACGCGTTTTTTTCCTCCTAGAAAGTAAGGGGAAATGTCTGTGCGTGTTACGGAGCGAATGCTTCCCTCCTCCGTGGTTTCCAGCGGGAGAAGAGCCGCTGAATGGGGAGGAGAGAGGGACAGAGTGCCTGCTTCTTTAAAGGAGCAAAGCGGGAGGGGAGAGGAGCTGCCTACACGAGTGTAAGCGGCTCCTGTCCGGTTGGCTCCTTTAAAGCAAGCAGGTTCTGCTTCTCTCCCTCCTCCCCACTCAGCGGCTCTTCTCCCGCTTTGCTGGAAATAGCAGGAAAGATTTTCAGCTCGCTAAGGGGGGGGGAGGAGGGAGAGAAGCAGAGCCTGCTTGCTTTAAAGGAGCCTACCGGACAGGAGCCGCTTACACGAGTGTAAGCGGCTCCTGTCCGGTAGGCTCCTTTAAAGCAAGCAGGCTCTCTGTCCCTCCAGCAAAGCTTTTCAGCTCGCTAAGGGGGGGGGGGAGGGAGAGAAGCAGAGCCTGCTCCATGCGTGCTCCTTGTCCCTTGAGTGCTTTTCCTTCCCTCCCCACTTAAAACGTGGTTACAAAGCACAGATCCACATGGATCATCAGGATTTTTGCACTGGGTCACCCCAAATTCACCATCAGATCACATAGCATGTCCATGGCTACAGTTTGCACCAAAAAAATCACGCACCCACTGTTACCTGGGGCTGCAGTGGTGCAAAAATGTGGTTACAAACATGGATCCACATGGATCCTCAGGATTTTTGCATTGGGCTACCCCAAACTCACCGTCAGATCACATGTCTGTGGCCACAGCATGAACCACAAAAATCATACATCCACTGTTTCGTTTAGAATATTTTTTTTCTTGTTTTCCACCTCTAAAAACTACATGCGTGTTATGGTCGGGTGCGTGTTATCGAGCGAAAAATACGGTAAGTGTATACAGTGGTACCTTGGGTTAAGTACTTAATTCGTTCCGGAGGTCCGTTCTTAACCTGAAACAGTTAACCTGAAACACCACTTTAGCTAATGGGGCCTCCAGCTGCTGCCGCGCCACCAGAGCACGATTTCTGTTCTCATCCTGAAGCAAAGTTCTTAATCCGAGGTAATATTTCTGGGTTAGGAGAGTCTAACCTGAAGCATATGTAACCTGAAGCGTATGTAACCCGAGGTCCCATTGTATAGCAGTGAAAAACTCATCTGAAATGTATTAAATTGGTGGAAATAGCTTGCAGAAATGTATGTATCGGGCAAAATTGCATTAAAATGAGTATATTAGGAGAAATATGCATTAAAATGCTGACAAATCTTCATTTGTAAAGGGATGTGGAAGTGTGGAGAACTGAAGACTGGGAAAATGAGAAACTGAAAGAAAGTTGACAGATCTATTCATCCCTTGCCCCAACTCACCAGTTGAAGACAAGTACCTTATATCATATTATTTTTATTCATCGGAGTCCTAATATATAATGATCTCTTTCATACTGTCTTCCGCCTTCAAGAGCAAATACATCTCCAAATACTTCTATTAATATTTATTAATTGGCTATGAATATTTATTCTTAACTTCTTATAGACTCATTTGTAGTCCCAAGGCACACAGCCCTGCAAGGAAATCTACTCAGTTGTAAAAATAAAAGTTTTTTTGTTTAAAGCATTAGCAATGCAGGTCACTAAGCAATTGAGCTAGAATTAGATTACTTTTGCCACCTTGTGGTTTTTCGGAAGGGGGGAACAATCAGGTCGATAGGATTGTGCTTTGAATAAGTAAAGAGATTGTAGATTAGAAGTCAACTGTGCCTCCCAGATTTCAGATTTGCCGCTAATTGGAATATGTACATGTCCAATCTTGCCTCGTTGGCAAAGCTTCCTTGGCAAATAGGTGGTGACACTTAATTGTGCCTTGGTTTGGACAATTCTTATAACTTGAAATTATCTGGATGAGACCTGAGATATTGCATACGCAAAGCACATGCTGGGGGGCGGCACACAAAGAGATGGACAAATCTATCAACTTCAGCTCCTGTCCATTTTCCTTTCTTTTTCAGTCTTAAATTCAGTTATTCCACATCCTCATGAAAATTTGCCATTGTTTTGGTGTGAATTTCTCCTAACACACATTTTTGTATGCTGTTTTGACTAATGTGCACAGTTTGCGAGCACTTCCCCCTAATATAGTTCACCCTGAATGTTATTTTCACTAACAAATGCATCTTTTGTTTTGGTTCAAGCATTTGTTCAAGACGTGCTAATTAGATAGTTTCCCATTAAAATGCAAACAAAATTGGATTTCTCCCTGAACCCTAAACACACAACTTGTGTCTTGGATGTGACCCTACTGACCCAATGACTAACGCTCCTCTCCCTTAGAGCACACATTTTGCTATAGCAATCTACTCTGTCTACAAGCAGCATTTGAAAAAGGGAATAAGAACATAAGATGAGTCTGCTAGATGGGGCCACTGGCCCATCTAATCCAAAATCCTGTTCTCACAGTGGCCAATCAAGGTGCCTGTAAGAATCCTGCTGCATTGCCATCGCTGTACACACACTTTGGAGTTGTAATTTGTGACTTTGGGAAACAATGCTGAAGAATAAACCTCCCAGGCACAGCATGCAAATCCTCACCTGTCCACTTACTGTTTCATTGCTTTCTGGCCTAATGAGCACTAAAAAGGTGCATGTATCTTAGATTCAGTGTGATGGTTCTGTTGCTAAGCAGCTGTCTTTACTTTTTAAAATACTGTCAAAAGTTCTCCTGAGCAGATTTGGAAATGAACTGAGGACATGTAACACCCATCTCAAGATGAACGGTGACTTTTATGAGCTGAATTCTTCTTCGGCTCAGAGAAGCATTCTGACCCATCTCTCTTTCCCAGGAGCAGTTGGCAAAGAGGGGCACCTCTGTGGACCTGGCGTTCCAGGAGTGGCATTGCTGGCACTTACCACAAAGGAGGAGGAGGTGGTAGGGACACTAGGGCTATAAGGGGACACTGGTGGACCAAGCTCCTGCTCTTGCACCTAAGCAGCCCTGACCTCCCTGTCCCCACATCTCTCCCCACTGGCCACTCCTGCTGCTGACACTTCCCACTACTGAAAGTTGTCACAACCTTCTGCACCCTTCCCTTTGTCAGTTGAGTGGGAGCAGCAACAAAGGTGACAACCAGCTACAGGAGGAGTTTCCCTCCTCTCTCCTCCCTGTCATGTTGGCTGACCATGCGCTAGGTTGTGAGGAACATGAGACACGCAGTTCTTCCATATGCGAGGGGGAAATTAATCTACTTTGCAGGTGGCCCATGTAGTGTCCTCTAGATCCCATGAAGTGACCTCCAACCCTTTCTGCAAAACACCGCATTTATTTATTGTCCTGCTGGAAACCCAAAAGAGGAGAAGAAGTCATTTCCCTGCTTTCTCCTCCATTCAGGGACCAGCCACCTTCCAACTTAAAGAAGGCCTGTTAATGAGAGAAATTCTTCATTTCATGGAAATTAGGCTGAAACCGGGAACGCCCCAGGGCAAGTTCACAGAATTCCAAACCCCCATCCGCACTGTTGTCTTCTCAAAACTCCAAAACCTAAGCCTTTATCAGTCTGGTCCCCAGTCTTGCTTCAAGATAATGGGGAATCCGCTTTAAGGAAGACTTCAGAGCTGACTCGGATGAGCTGCAACCCGTTATGGAGACAGCCCTAGAGTAGTTCCACCTCCAGAATGCCAGACTGGAGCCTGTCCATTGGACTTTGTTTCTTTGACACCAAAGAGACTGCATGCCTTCATCTTTGAAGTCTGTCCTTTAGCTTTGGCGACTGCTTAGTCGTCTTCTGCCTGCTGGCATGAGTCGGTGTCTTCAGCGGTTGTGAAGATGTAGGCCGCAGCTGTTTTTGCTGCTGCTGCTGCTCTTGTCTCCTTTTGGTCAGCAGATCCCGCATTGCTTGCATCAACTGCTGCACTTTCCTATCCTGTACTCGGAAGAAGAGTTCCGCCAAGCTGGCAGTAGGTTGAAGGTACTCTTGGGGCTTGGGGATATCCTCCTGCTGCATGACAACAATGGGGCTTGTTGCAGTCGTCAGCAGAGTTGAGGCCCCAACTACATCCTCAGGCTTAGCTTTCTGCTGCTCCGTGGAAGTCGATGTGATGACAGTGGGCTTACTCGAGTTGGACTGGGGAGTCTCTTTCTGGGCAACAGAGGGCGTTGAGACAAGCGGTTGGGGAGAAGTCGTGATTGTGGAGGACGTGGTCGCCGTGGGCGCTTTGGTGGTGGTGGCCTCTTTGGGCAGGGTGGGAGATTCGGAGACACAGATGCACAGAGCTTTGGCAGAGGTAGTTGTGGATTTGGCAGTGGTAGTAGTAGTGGGGTGTGTGGCAGAACTTTCCGCAGCAGTGGTGACTGTGCTGTTAGGAGGCTCAGAAGAGAGCTCTGCAGTTGTGGCAATGCTAGTATTGTGGGGAGCATCAGTGGTTATATTACTTTTTGTGGCGGAAGGGCTCATGGGAAAGGATGCTGCAGTCGTGGGTTCAGATCCTGTGGTGGCAAGATCAGGAGAAGATTCTGTGAAGGTGGAGAGTTCAGTGGTGGTGTCCAGTGTAGGGGGAGATTCAGTAGCGTTTGAGGCAGAGTGAGTAGTAATGGAGGTGGGGGTGGGGGTGGAGGTGGAGGAGGGGGTGGAGGTGGGGGAAGCGGAAGGGGTGAGGGAGGGGGAGGAGGGGGAGGTGGAGGAGGGGGTGGAGGTGGAGGTGGGGGAAGGGGAAGGGGTGAGGGAGGGGGTGGAGGTGGAGGTGGGGGAAGGGGAAGGGGAAGGGGTGAGGGAGGGGGAGGAGGTGGAGGAAGGGGTGGAGGTGGGGGAAGGGGTAAGGGAGGTGGAGGAGGTGGGGGAAGGGGAAGGGGTGAGGGAGGGGGAGGAGGGGGAGGTGGAGGTGGGGGAAGGGGGAAGGAAGGTGGAGGAGGTGGGGGAGGGGGTGGAGGTGGGGGAAGGGGTGAGGGAGGTGGAGGAGGTGGAGGTGGAAAGCTCATCAACAAATTCTTGAAGTTCCATGGCAGCAGAGGTAGAGTTGTACTGAAGAAAGGACTCTGTGGACGTTGCCACAGTGGTGGTGAGAGGTTCAGGAAAACTCCCACTGGCTGAGACTGGAGGAGAGGGGCTGAAGAGCTGAGGTGAGGGTTCTGCAGCAGTTGAGGTAGCAGTGGATACAGGAGGCTCAGGAGAAGACCCTGAAGGCACTCCAGGTGAGAGCTCTGTAGTGGTTGGGGCAGAAGTCATATTGGAAATGGACTCTGCAGTGGCAACAGCATCAGTCGTGGTGAGAAATGCAGGAGTGGTCCCTGTGGCAGAGGTGGGTGTGGCCATGGGGGGCTCGGTAAAGGACTTTGCAGTGGTTGGGTCAGGGGTAGTGACAAGAGGCTCCAGCAAAGATTCTGATGTGATGGTGGCAATACTTTGGGCGAGGTTCTTGAGAGAAGACTCTTTGATAAGTTCCAATGGGGATTTAGTTGCAATGGTGGTTGTAGAGGACACATGGGAAAGCTCTTCTAAAATGTCAGGCAAGGGCTCTGTAGTAGCTTTGTTAGAAGTGACAGCGAGAAGCTCAGGAGCCAACTCTGTGGCAGCCAGAGCAGCAGGGGCGCGGAGAAGCTCAGAAAAGAACTTAGCAGCATCTGTCGTAGAGGGCGACACGGCTGCGAGAAGCTCAGGAAACAACTCTGGGGTGGTCATGGAAGCTGCAGGAGAGGCCCTGAGCAGGTTAGTCAAAGCTTCTTCTATAGATGATTGCACAATCTCATCAGGTTCCGTTGGGGGGCTGATGATATGTAAAAATGTCCTTGCTTTGTTCCTGTCACCTGGGCACGGAACCCTCTAAATAGAAAAATAAAATCAGCATGCAAAACGGAAACAAAAATCTTTCTCTGGGGTGCTGCAGCTCATCAAAGCTATCAGTTCTCTGCCTTTCTTTTGAATGAGGCTGCGTATACCCCATACATTTTAAGCAAATTTGTTGGGAGCTCTAGTTCTCCCCTCACAGAGCACCCTTAAGAAACTACAGTTCCCAGGATTCTTGGGGGTGAGGAGCTTTGTGCTTTAAATGTCTGGTGTTGCATACAGCCAGACATCGGGACTTCTCCTTATTTCTCTAGGAAGATGCTTTATACTGAGTCAGAACCAGTGTACAGTCTACACTGACTGGCAGTAGTTTTCCTGGAGACATGGGGGGTTGAGCCTGGGACCTACTGAATGCAAGACTTGTGTTCTACTGCAGAGCTGCATCCCTTCCCCAAGGGTTAGGCCAAAAGGGAAAACCTCACATCTGAAGCTTTCAGAAACAGATTGAACTGACCCACATAAAAACTAAACATCCTTTTTTCAATCACCACCACCCCTTCCTCTCAAGGCCTGGGGCAGAGATGGCACCCTTCTCACTCCACATACAGAAGCTCACCTTACACCTTAACAACAACAGTAGAGATGGGGTCACATCCTCCACCACAGCTGAGGGGAGCCAACTACTTTAGGGAGCACAAGGCCTAGGAACAGACAAAGCTGCCTTAAGCTGTGTAAACATGACACCTTAAAAGTGCTTCCTTTCCCTCAAATGATTCTGTGCTCTGTATTTTAACTCTCACGTATTTATGATTCCCAGCAACTGTTAACAAAGCCCAGTGCCCAGAATTCTCTGAGGGGAAAAGGTGTTTTAAAGGTAGAACATGACTCATACTGAGTCAGACCACTGTTCCGCCAGCTCAGTACTGTCCACAAACTGGCTGGCAGCCATTGTTCACATATAGCAAGATTGATAACCAAGAGCAGACCATGACTTATGAGCATGGTTTGTTCATGGTTAACAAACCTTGGTGAAGCCCCCAAGTCTGGTTCAGACAATCCAATTAAACCATGGTTTCTAACTATGGTTAAGTGTTATGTGCAGAGCGAATGAATGGTGTATCCAGTGAGACCTAAGTTATAGTGGGATCAAACCTACTTTCCTTGAAAGGCTCTCCCCTTCTTTTTTATCTACCTCTGCCATAGCTCCTTGTTTTCTTGGGCTATCCTTTCTTCCTAATAGATTTCCCAGGCTCGCCTCTTTCCCTCACCTTCACATAGTACTTCCTCAAGGCGCAGCGATAAAAAGCAAGGTTACAAAAATCTGGGAAAGTTGAATGTTCTTCCAAGTCAGAGCACACCCGCCCTAGGAGAGAGAGGCTGAGAGTTAGAGAAGAGCAGGTGATGGTTGCCCCATCATTTTAATTTATCCAAAATTTAATGTTGCCAGGTACAGAGTTATGGGACTCCCGAGCCAAGGAGATAAGTAACTGTATAATCTTTAGAAGACATCTGAAGGCAGCCCTGTATAGGGAAGGTTTTTTTAAATGTTTAATGTTTAATTATGTTTTTATATATGTTGGCTGGGGCAACATATATGTTTTATATATGTTGGCTGGGTGGGGTATAATAATACTAAGAAGAAGAAGAAGAAGAAGAAGAAGAAGAAGAAGAAGAAGAAGTAGTTGTTCCTATTTTCATCGGAGAAATGTTGGAGGGTATGCAACAATCTGTAGGGCTCCATATTGGCTATCTCTGCAGTAGGCACTGATGCAAGTGTGGTTCCTCCCATATTTGATTTTAAACACATCCAAAAGAAGACTGCCAGTTAGGTTTGGCAAAAGTTATTTTAGTGAAGGTTTCAGAGGAGCTGAAGTCTTGCCAGGAGTTCTGTTACGATCTAAGAGCTGGGGTTTCCTCAAGGCTAGTCCCAATCAGTTTACAGAAAAGCTGAGACAACCCTGTCATTCTTATTGTTTACCTTCAGGAACGACTCCATGGTTTTCGTACTGGTCCAGTGCCCGGATCAAGGAATTCTGGCAGCCATACATGGCTCTTAAGAAGCAAACAGCACGGATTCGACGAGGGCTACGAAGGATGCTAAAGAAGTGCTCATATTCGGCATCTGAGAGTGGCATTCCAGCTAGCGATGGCTCTTGTATCTGTGTGTCTGCTGCAGCGAGGAGCCATTTTGAGAGTACTGCGCAGACCAAACAAAAGAGGCAAAGGAGTGAGCCTTGGCTTAAGCCTCTATAATGTGTATCAAGGTTGCAAGGCATAGATCCCACAACTTGAGCTGCTGTGCTTTGAATGCCGGCGCTGGTTTTTTTAAAGACCCGGAGCATCCTTGGCCACAGGGGACGATGTTGACTGAAGGATTCTGTGGCCCTGTCTCTAAACTGTAGGTTCATGGAGTAAGGAAATGTGTAGATCAGCCCTAGCCAGCATTCCCATCAGCCCCAGTCAGCGCCTGGCTGGGGCTGATGGGATTTGTAGTCTAAAACATCTGGAGAGCCCTAGGTTGGCCAGGGCTTGGGCAGATAAATGGTCTCACTCACCAAGAGCAAACAGGGACACCTGTGTGGCTGCATGCCCCCTCATCTTCCTTGCTGAGGCTTTGGGCACAGGGTCGGTCTAAAGGAGGAACCATTAGCAGGCTGTACAGATAAAGGAAGTTCCTGGGTTCTTTTGAATCCTCACTTTATTCTGTTTGCTGGACCACTGCTTTGGTGGGGTATCAAGGGGAAGCGGCATGAAAGGCCAACCAGGAGCTCCTGCCGTGGCCTAGGTAACCAGGAATGCTTGTGACATCACTGGGCAGCAAGGTTCTTCCCTTTGCATCTTTGCCAGTGAAATGGTGTGCCCTGATTCTGCGTTGCTTCCTCTCCTCGTGTGAAACTTGCCGCTTTTGATGGCGGAACCAGCTGGGCATGAACTTGGCTGTCATCTCTCAAGAAATAAGGATGGTGGTGAGTACTCCTGTGAGTGCGGCTACAACCTTTTTATCAGTCAATTAATCAACCAGTTTTAAATCTGTGGGGGCAATTTTTTAATCAGACTGGCTGAGAACCCTTTATTATTTTTTAAAACTGGCCTGATGTATGGGTATCACAGGGACTGCAAAATGAATTATGGAGAGAAGGAGAACCTTCAACAAACCTGCCTGGCCTCTCCCAGCAAGTCTTTCAGTGGCCAATCTCTTTGCAACTTAGCAGAAGGAGCAGTGAGGCCGATTCTGGCCTATATCTGTTGAAATGTTTTGAGCTTTGTAAACTGATGATGATAATTATAATTATTTACATTTATATCCCAACTTTCCTCGAAGGAACTGGTGGCATAGATGGTTCTCACTCTCATCGTTTTATCCTCACAAGAACCTTGTGAGGTAGGGTTAAACTGAGAGTCTATGACTGGTCCATGGTCACAGTGTGAGCTTCATGGCTGAGTGGAGACTTGAACCCTGGTCTCTCAGGTGCAAGTCCAACACTCTAACCACTACACCACACTGGCTCAGGAAGAGACCTCTGCCTGAAACTCAGGATAACTACTACCTGTGAATATGAACAATAATGCTTGCTGTTTCAATGTTCTGACTTGGTTCCAAGGTTTGTTCCTGTGTACTTTTTATATCAATTAGTTCACACATTAGCTTTGCGTTGTCAAGCACACCATAATAAAGCACAAAAGAATCGAGTGATATATCTGAATGAGAGAACTTAGCCCTTGCAATATATATATTATTTGGGTATGTGTGTAGAAAACTAGCAAACCTAATAGACCTGGCAAGCCTGTAGGCCTGAACCTATTAGCCAAGCCTATTGCATTTTGTAGGGCTTGTATAAGCCTAAATATTTTTGGGGTTGCAGTTTTAAGGTAGGGTTGCTTCCTATGTGATTTACTTATGTGGGCTACTTACTCATTTCAAAAACATCTAAAAGCACAGTGTGCTGTAAAAACAACAACATGCCCTGGTTTTCATTTCTATATTAGATAGCGTGCACTGTCATATGTGACAAACTGAAGATTGACTGTTCTGTGAAAGGTATAAATAAAACTACAAGAAAAACAACAAGCACAGTCTGCAATGCAAAGCTGGAAGCAACACAAAGTAATTTTGGTTGCAATCCCAAACCCACTTATATGCAAATAAATTTGATTACAATCAGTGGAGATTGCTTCCAAATAAATAAGGTTACAAATAGGATGTAAATAAGAGATGCTAACACCTGAAGGGATTAAATAAAACAAGAGAATACAGCAGTGGTTGCAGGCAAGAGTTAATGCTCAAGGCGGGAGGGAATACAATTTAGAAAACCTCATATTTAAAAGGTAGGATGAACTGCAATGAGGGGGTTAGAGGTCTTTCCTCCTTTCTCCCCCCTTTTTTTTTGCATTTGAGTCTAGGCCCTTAAAGCGCTTCCAGGTAGCCTTGAGCATTGATTCTGATTTGTTTACAGGAAGATTTCACAATGCTGGCTACTTAACGAATATTTATTCTACAAGTTTGTTGTGCAAGACCTCCCAATGAACAGTAATGGCACGACCCGAATTTTCTGGTATGTGATTGAATTTCCACCTGAAAACAGAAGGTTTAGAAAAGTATTGCTAAAACTGATTTAAATCCGTGGTTTGAAGTGCACCTAACTCGCAGTGCAGTCCTGTGCATGCTTACTCAGAAGTAAATGCCACTATGTTCAGTAGCACTTGCTACCAGGGACATGTGCTTGGGGTGGGAATCTTGGCATAGGATGGCAGTCTTAGGCTGTGTCCATACTAGATACTTTAGTGTGGCATTGCAACATTTATTTTGTCTTGTTATCACTGTCATGAAAAACGGTTCTAGTTACAGGTAGGTAGCCGTGTTGGTCTGCCGTAGTTAAAGCAAAACAAAACAATACAAAAGAAATTTAAAAATTCCTTCCAGTAGTACCTTAGAGACCAACTAAGTTAGTTATTGGTATGAGCTTTCGTGTGCATGTGTTATCTGAAGAAGTGTGCATGCACACGAAATCTCATACCAATAACTAACTTAATTGGTCTGTAAGGTGCTGCAGGAAGGAATTATTTTTTTTTATACTTTATTTTATTTATGAAAAAAGGTAGCAGCAGGTACCTATTGAAGCATGGACAGTTACAAAGCATACAGTGGTTTCCCACACTGAGTGGGCAATGCTAAACATCGTCCCTTTGGAAGTATTCTTATGGATATCCCATGGTATTTTTCTCAGAAATAAATCCTGCTCTTCCACCTAGGGTTGCAGCTTTATGATTTTCCATCCCTTTGCTTTTAAGTCTGTCCCTTTGTTTAGGTTTCTACTGTTTCATCTATTGTTGTTTTATATTATTATTATTATTATTATTATTATTATGTGTGTGTGTGTAGGATGTTGCGATGTATCAAATCAAAATGGGGAGAACCATGTAGGTCCTTCTTGGAGAAAAGGCAGAATGTAAATGCAATAAATAAAATAAGTGTGTATAGGACTGCAGTCTTAGCAGCTTCTGATGCCACCCTTTGTTGTTGTTGGTTTTTGCAGTAAGACTGACTGGGAAACCTATACCAAACTTTCCCTAGGATTAAGTCGTCCTGGTGTAATGGATAAGAGCGTGGGACTAGGACCTGCGAGACCAGGGTTCAAATCCCATGAAGTTCAATGTATCCCTACCTCGCAGAGTTGTTGTGGGGGTTTAAATGAGGAAAGGGATGTACATGCTACCTCGGGCTCTTGGAGGAATGGGATGTTAGCGCAAATAAAATAGAATAAAAAATAAATAAACGGGGATTACTTCTGAGTGTACATGCTGTGAGACAACTTCCCATTGGTGACGAAACGGCGCGCGCGGAGGCGGCGTCATGTCGTTCTTGTTGTTTTTCTTTCCCCGGGCGGCCCACTCGATTGGCTCACGGGACTTTTTCCCAGCCAATAAAATTTGGGCGGGAAAAAACCCAACCCGCCCCGTCAGGCGGGGCCTTAATAGCAGAGTGGCTCTCTCTTTCTCTCGGGAAACCTCTGACGTCAGCGGCGAGGGAGGCGGGCCGAAGCAGCCATTCGCAGTTTGGCGCGCTTTCGCGCAACTCCAGAAGGGTCCGTGGCGGCGGGATATTGGGGGGGGGGGGGTGCGGGTTAGATGGTGGCCGCAAAGGGTAAGAGGTGGCTGAGTAGGGCGCTTCGCGGAGGGAAATAGAAACGTGCTGGGATTCCAGGAATCCTGTGCTCTCTTGGCAGGAAGTACAGTGGGACCTCTCTTTTTGGGGGGGGGGGGGGCGGAGGGGACGCGGAAAGCTCCTACCAAGTCAGACTGGTAGCTCAACGTAGTCTACGCTGACTGGCAGCAGCTGTGCAAGATTTGCAACAGGACTCTTTTCCAGGCGTACTTGCAGGCGCCAAGGTTTGAACCTGGGAGGTTTTTCAAGAAAAACGCTGTGGCCCTGCATAGGATTGTGTTGCAAGCCCAGCCCTACAAGGTTCTGGAGCCTCCTGCCCCCCAACACTGAGTCTCTAAAATGCCACTTTCTCGTCTCCTGAGATGTTAGCCAGGACTTGCAATGAAGTCATATACATGTGTGTGCAGAATGGCATATGTTTTTTTGTTGGAAGCCGCCCAGGGTGGCTGGGGAAGCCCAGCCAGATGGGCGGGGTACAAATAATAAATTATTATTAAATTATATTATTATTGTTTTAAGTACTTGGGCAATTGTGCAACAAGTACAGAGTATGAAAGAGACAGATGCTCCATGGTGCACTGGTGGATATGCAGCCTCGCCCTGTCTCTCTAATATCTTGGAATTACTGTAGTTTGTCCTTGATTACAGAAACAGGAAGCAGCACAGAAGCTGAGGGGCATATGGGAGGTGTGTGTGTGTGTATATAGAGGGAGTGTTCAGAGATGCCAACTCCTCCCACCAGCAGTCTTGAAGAGATAGAGTCCAGAATTCTACCACTTTAAGCAGCATACTGTAGGCCCAGTATTAAGGCTGAAGCTACAGTTGCCCTTTTTTTGGCCATGGTTGTGGAGCTTTTTTGGCAAAATTGCAAAAAAACATGCTGTTTTTGAGCTATTTTTATGGATAATCGGCAAAAACAACACTGCCGACACAGGCTGCCATACGTCCGGATTTCCTCAGACATTTTTGCTGATTTCTGCCCGGACACTACTGCCAGCTGTAGTATTCCAGATACGTCCTGACCTACGCCAATCTTAGTTGAAGCTGGTTGTGTAGAATGCTGCACTGGTAAGCAGCGTTTTGCCACCTTGTTGGCACAATTAACACAAGCTGCATAGCTCATCTGCTTTGCATGCAGAAGATCAATCCCTGGCATCCCCAGATAATGCTCCTTTCCTGAAGCCCCAGAGGGCCACTGCCAGTCAAGGTACTGAGCTAGTTAAACTAATGGTCTGGCCTGGTAGGAGGAATCTAGCAATGCTTCTATCTTTTGAGAGCCTGCATGGCATAGCAGAGTGTTGGGCTCGGACCTGGGAGACCAGGGTTCACATTTCCACTCAATCATGAAGCTCGGTGTGTGACCTTGGGCCAGTCATAGTCTCTCAGCCTAATTTAACCTCAAAGTGTTGTGAGGATAAAAAGGGAAGAGGGGGGAAAGGAAGTTGCAGCACCTTGAGCTCCTTGGAGGAGCAGCGGGATGCAAATGTAATAAATAATGATAATAATAAGGTGGTTTGGAATGCCTTGTAGGCATTTGGTGTAATCTTTGATAGATTCTACTCTTGGCTGGGTTCCTGGGATAACTTCAGATGCACACATAATGGGAGAGGGCCATCTTTACCGTCCTCCACAGGGCCTCCCTTGTGCTCGTGTAATGTTTTATTTCAACTGTGTTGACAATGTCCTTTTTGCCCGCCTTTGTAGAAATGCTAGTTTATATATAGTCAGGGTTAAGGTGATTCAGAATACTGTTTTATGGGTTTCTTTTTCATTTCAGGAGATGGCTGGGGAGAGCCAAGAAGCCGCCAAAACAAAGTTTCCATTTCCTTATGTGCCATACCCCATTCAAGAAGAATTCATGGCTAAACTTTATCAGGTCTTGGAGACTGGGAAGATTGGTATATTTGAAAGCCCAACTGGCACAGTAATTCTCTCTTTATTTTTTAATAATATTTGAAGTGCTGACAATTCCTCATCTTTCTGCTACCTAGGCCTCAAGGTGGCTGTGGGAGCTTCATGTGGCTGGAGAAGGAATGCCTTGCAACATGGAGGAAAGGCTCTCAGGGCTTGGTTGCAGCCAGGGAGTGGGGTGCTGTGGAAGGAGGGGAGGGAACGGGAGAAATAGTGTGGTTTGCTGCTTAGGAACATAAGGAGCTGTCTCACAGCAAGACAGACCATTGGCCCACTTTGCTTGGTGTCGTCTACACTGACTGGCAGCAGCTGTTTCTCCTGGTCCTACCTGGAAATACTGGGGATTAAGCCTAGTGTGCAAAGCACATGCTCTACCACTGAGCTACAGCCCTTCCCCAAAGTGCTGTAGCAACCCAGAATGCTTGGCTTTGTGGGTTGCAGCAATAATCTGTCGTTGTGAATAGACAACAAACAGGTATTGGCTTGTTGGGAACTGTAAATAATGTCTGGGCTTTTGTATTCTAAATTTAAATGCAGCTGCCTAGATTCTTGAATAAGTGGTACTAAGACAACAGCAGCAACTCTGAATTTTATTTTTAGGGGAAATCTTTGAGTCTCATTTGTGGAGCCCTCTCGTGGCTCCGAGACTTTGAAGAGAAAAAGAGACAGGAAGAGGCCCGCCTGCTTGCAAACGGAAGTAATGGAAAGAGTGCAAAAGAGCAGCCTGAGAAGGGAAGCCAGGCATCGGCCGGAGAGCCCGATTGGATCACCCAGTTTGTGCAGAAGAAAGAAGAACGGGAAATGGTCCACAGGCTGAAGGTAATGCTGTTTATTAATTAGAGCAAATCCTGTCTAGGTGGCGAATTCAGAGATGTAACTGTAAAAGAATAATGAGAACATTAAAAAATAATCAAGAGATAGCAAAAGCCTTGCTGGATCACGCCAAAGGCTCTTCTCGTCCAGCATCTTGTTCTCACAGTGCTAAACAGATGCCTATGGCAGATGCCTGAAAGCAGGACCAGAGCGCAACAGCAACTCTCCGCACCTGTGATTCCCAACAACTGGTATTCAGAGGCATACTGCCTCCAACAGTGGAGGTGGGCACAGTCAGCAGACAGTGGATGTAGGAGTCATTTTTCATCTTGTAGCTTCAGTTCTTCTCTCTGAGCCGTGTACATTTAGCATCACGCTTAAATCTTTTGCATGTGCCATCTCTTTAAAGAACCCAGAAATACTAGTTCAATATAGAATAATAATTTGTAACTCCAAGCCAGAAAGAGAATGGTGTCCAAACCATAAGGAAAATACTTAATTGAAACGTTTAAAACTCACGGCCTATGGCTGCAGTCCCATATAGAGCCAATAGCTGGAAAATTATCTCCACAGGAGTATAAGATGGCAGCCCTTCCACCTCAAATACCATTAAACTGTGGTGGTATTGCAACACCGAAAGAACAAAAAAAGTTGCAAATATTTAATAGAGAACTAAATAAGTATTTGCTCACAAGTCTCACTTTACTCAAAAGTTCTCTTAGAAAATGCTACTTAAGCTATTTAAAAAAGAGAGAGATTCTGGTTAGTAACATCTTATTGAAATGTACCATGTGCTACATTTCCTTGTTAAATATGACAGTATCTATAGTGTTTTGTACTACTGCATAACCATCTTTATTCTGCCTGCCCATTGAGTACAAGGTGAATTAGAAATGGGAGAAACATATAAAGTGAAAGATTCTTCTGGGATATTTTCTCACGAGCCTCTGCCACCTGTGTGAAAACTGGGTTACAGCTACTGTTTTAAAACCTTATGCACCAGGTGGTCTAGAAACATATATAATCTAGGAAAGACTGAAGTGGGGAGGCTCTAACATGCTTGGGATTCACAGTGGGTACTGTTTTCGTTCCAGGACTTGAGTTTCACAGACTGTTGTTTCAATTTTTAGGAGGAGCAGGTCAGGAGGAAGAAGCGAGAAGAACGTCTGGAGCAAATTCGCCACAACGCGCAGCTGAAATACACTTCTAAAAGAAAGGTGAGAGGACTCGGATACCAAAGGCCTATCCTTCGGTTGCCAACAGCACAATCCCAACCATGTTTAATTGCAGCTTTGTTGATAAGTTGTGGTTCCCGGAATGCTGAGAGTTCCATGGTTCGTGTATTGAACGCTAACTAAGTATTGGTGGGGAGAAAATGATGAAAAACTGAGCCAGGGGAGTAGAATAAAATGACTGGCACCCTAAAGAGGAATACTCTGCACTTGTTGAAGGCGCCACTTGTTATTCTTTATAAGGCTGCTGTATTGAGTGGTTGGGCTCCCCCCATTTGCTTTGATTGCTCTTGTTATTAATACTCATCGCAAAGTATTGGAAGACACAAGATCCACCCACCTTGGAAGAATGGCAGATGAAGGTGATGGACTATATGGAATTGGCGGAAATGACTGGCAGAATCCGAGACCAGGGAGAAGAGTCGATGGAAGAAGATTGGGAAAAGTTTAAAGACTATTTACAGAAATATTGTAAAATTAATGAATGCTAGAATGATGTTGGATAGAAACCAAGTGGTCTTTAGCTGAAATGTTATAAGGGAATATGAAAAAATGGATTATTAATAGGTACAGGAAGTACAAATTGCATTTTTCTCTGGTTTCTGGGGGTTAAACACTAAGCTCCTTAAACACTAAGGGTTTGGAGGCTACTCTCTCAAGCCTTTCCTTATAGGACAGTGAGCTAATTGACTTGGAGGGGCTGACAGTTCCATTATGCTTATTTCAGAGGATGGAGGAGGAAGAGGCAGAGCAGCTACTACAGCTCAGTAAGGACATGTTGTCTCACCCGGATGAGTTGGGTACTTTGGAGCCGTTGGATCAGAGTGAGGAAGATCTGATCCTTGCAGAGTACGAGAGCGATGAGGAGAAGAAAGTGGGAAGTAGGTAAGAACGGCAATAAGATGGCAAGATAAAGGGGCAGCAGAAGCAGGCTACTTGAGAGCCAGTGTGGTGTAGTGGTTAAGAGCGGTGGACTCGTAATCTGGTGAACCGGGTTCGCGTCTCCGCTCCTCCACATGCAGCTGCTGGGTGACCTTGGGCTAGTCACACTTCTTTGAAGTCTCTCAGCCCCACTCACCTCACAGAGTTGTTTGATGTGGGGGAGGAAGGGAAAGGAGAATGTGAGCCGCTTTGAGACTCCTTCAGGTAGTGATAAAGTTGGATACCAAATCCAAACTCTTCTTCTCTTCTACTTGGTCCTATGATCGCATACTAGACCTAGTGGTCACCAAGAAGAAGGAAGCAGCAAATCACAAGCAGCGAAGGCCCCGTCTGCTCTTCTCATGAAGATGGCAGCTGCCTCTCGGTGCAGAAGTGCAACTTGGGTTTAAGGGTTGGATTTGCCAGAATAATCCTCCTCTAATGCTGTGGATTGTCTTTTATGGCGTATCTTGAAAAGCATTTCACTCATTGTAAAAGAAAATATGTCATAGGAAGTCTCCCCCCCCCCCCCGTGTTATGCAAAGTCATCAGAAAAAAATGAGGGGAAACATATGTCCTCCCCACTCCATTTCCCCTCTTTTGCGCCTTCACATTGCCAAATAAGAATGTGCTGGCTCTCTGTCGTATGTGGACAGAGACCTGCTTAAAGACGGGGAGAGACGGTGTCATACGTGCTCTGGATTATGACACAAATGTTTCAGAGGGGCTACAGGAAAGAGAGACACCATTGTGCTTTCGCCCCTTAGGTTATGTGAAGAAGATGATGATGAAGATATAGAGGAGGAGCATGTAACTAAGGTAAGGCTTCAAGGGGCATCTGGTTCCTGCTCCAGAAGCTGTCCTTCAAATCTGTAGGTGGGAAGGTTCATGACAAATTGGCAAGAATTCCTCCCGCTTCTAAGGCTCAAACTAGATAACTGCACACAGACATACACACATAATACAGTTAAAATCCAGTGAGAATCCCGTCTGACTCTCCTACCCTCAGTCCAGACACTATCTCAGTTGCTGAAGTCTATCCCAAGTGGAAGAGTTTTGCCTATTTTTCAAATGATGTTCACATCTGGCTTTAGTGAGCCCAGGGTCAGGCTGATGCTGTTGCATACAAAGTGTTTCCCTTCCGGCTGTTTGGTCCCTTCTGAGATGCATGGGCCCAAGCAGTTGCCTGAGAGCAGACTCTGGGCCAGAGTGAGCCCCCCAGGAGCCAAAGTTTTGTATTTGTTGGGCAGGCGTTGCGGATGCCTCTGTCCTACTGCAGAAGCAAGGGGAAGAGAGCACAAATCCTGCATTTCTATCGCATCTAAACTGGACCTGTATGAATTGGTTCCCGGTTGTGTTTCTCTTCTGTTTCTCTTCCTCAGATTTACTACTGCAGCCGAACGCATTCGCAGCTGGCTCAGTTTGTGCATGAGGTTCAGAAGAGCCCTTTCGACAAGGAGACACGACTGGTCTCCTTGGGGTCTAGGCAGGTGCGTAGCCCTCTGCTTTTCCTTGGGCAAGCTGGGTTGCTAATGAAATTTCCCTATGGGTGGAACTAGACAATGCTGACCACTGGGTTGCCATCAAAGTTAGCTAGCTGTTTTTCCAGTTCCTCCTCCCCTTCCCAGGTCCATCCAGGTGTTCAGCCACATGTGTGAGGGCTGTGCACACTGCCCCTGCCTCAACCATCAGTCTGCGTACTGGCCCTGGCCCTCCATTCCTGAAGGGAGGTTCTAATCACATTCAGCCTAAGGCACTTGAAAGCTTTATGGTGATTGCCCACCTCACTTTGTTATCAGTGTATCCTCTTACAGAGAGGCTTCAAAATGGGCTGAAAATGTGAAGGTCAGGGACGAGGGTGAGGGGCACAGCCCACACGTAGTATGTGCCCTCTCCGTCCATTTGCTGAATTCTTTAATACAGTGGTACCTCGGGTTAAGAACTTAATTCGTTCTGGAGGTCCATTCTTAACCTGAAGCACCACTTTAGCCTATGGGGACTCCCGCTGCTGCTGCGCCGCCACCGTGTGATTTCTGTTCTCATCCTGAAGCAAAGTTCTTAACCCGAGGTACTATTTCTGGGTTAGCGGAGTCTGTAACCTGAAGCGTATGTAACCCGAGGTACCACTGTGGAGCTGTTGAGTAAGGGTATGGAGTATCCTTCTTGCCTTGCACGATCTCCCCCGCCCCCCATCAGTCAATAAAATGGGGCAAGGGAACGCTTGGCGTGATGATGCTATGTCACGTGTCTCCCTTTCTAAAGGTTTATGGGGAGAAGAGGAGGAACTGAATGTATTGTCATTGCTGGAAACACCCTGTGATCCTCATCGTGTCTATTCTTAGAACTCCCTAGCATGGAAATAGTTTCCTGGTGGCACTTAGGAGCAGTTGAAACAGTGCTTTAAAAAATATAGATATATATATATAGATAGATATATAGGTATTGAAATGCCGCAAGGTTAGGAATTGCTGCATCCACCCCCCGTTTGTTGTATTTTTAGAACTCACCCTGATTTTGTGACTGTATTCTGTGTTTTTTTAAGAAAGATTGTTATTAATTTTGCATTTTAAATGGTCATAACCCACCCTGGGACCTTAGACTGAAGGGCGGGTGGAAATGATAATTATTTAATTAAAATGTTCAAGATGCAAACCAGAAAAATCATCTTTAGAAATACAAATTCTGAGTAAGAAATTGGATACTGAGCAGCATGACACCCTTGTGATATTACAAATACTGAACACCCTTCGTCCTGGATTTGTGTGTCTCCAATGCTTATGGCACTTCATACCACAGAAACAATAATCACAAATAGTTTTGCATTCCAAAGATTCTGAGGTGCTGGAGGGGGAAACATTTAAATATGGTTTATTCATTTTTTTACCTATACATACATACAAAAAAGTATATAACTTTATAGGGCGGCAGTCAGTGCTAGTCCAATTCTGAGCTTGAAGTTGATGGGCATAACTAATTTAGGTTCATTAATCTCAGTAGATCTTGGTTGAATACAACCCATACATTATAAATCAGTTATTCTTGTAATCCTATTACTTTTGTTTCATTATTTATAAGTAATTATTCTAACCTGCTGCCTTATAGATTAGTAATAAAGTCTTTCAATGTTTTTTATATTTCGTCTCAACCGCAAGAAAAACTCAAACAATTCGCCTCTCATAATTCTGCTCCGTGTATGTTGTGAATGTCTCTCTCTCTCTGTTTTTGTAACTGGTTTCTGCTTTTTCCTGCCTTACCTGTCTCAGAACCTCTGTGTGAATGAGGAAGTGAGGCACCTGGGAGCCGTCCAGCTCATCAACGACCGTTGTATGGAGATGCAGAAGAATAAACATGGTAGGAAAGTGTCACATGCTGGGAACAATGACTTAAATGGTGCCTAGTGTATTTCAATAAAACAATGAACAGGGTGGTGATACAATGACTACGGCAATCGACACAAGTTAATGTCACAAAGGCAGCTATCTGTAAACAAACAATAAACGTCGATAAAAATTGCAAAAGTAGTTTCTTTCCCAAATAGGTTTTATCTTTTTTTAATGTATTTTTATTAAAGATTTTCTTGATTTACAAAAGTATGTGTAATGTCTCTCTCTCATATTTTTTCCATGTAACATTTTTACAAATCAGTTTCATTTGTTGAGACATTAGGAAGAAAAGGGGGAAAGAGGTGGAGGTGGGAAAGGTGAGTGGGGTTGGGTGATGATGTTTCTATTTTACTTAATATATGTAGGGTTTTGTGTCAGCATTGCTTGTGCAGGTTCTTTGCTGTTCACTTGTGTTCCTTTGGTGGTGAGAGAGGTTGGGGTTGGCCTAGGGTGTGGTTGTTCATTTGTGGTTGGCTGTGGTGGTCTTTGTTTTTGTGTGTGAGTGGGGTGTTTTGGATCAGGTTAGCCATATTGATTTGTATGCTGTTGGTGGATTTTTGTCATTGACTTTTTGGGCTGTGTGTGTGATAAAGGGGAACCATACCAGGGTGAAGGCGTTTTCTATTTGTCCCTGTGTCAGTTTCACTTTATTGGTTAATTTTTTCTAGTAAGGCTGTTTCCCATACTATTTGGTACCATTGGTCCATACTTACTCCTGACAGGTCTCTCCAGTGTCTGGCTATGATGTTTCTGGCTGCTGAAAGTAGGTGGGTTATGAGCTCTTTGTGATGTGAGTGGGCATTATTGTCTTGGAAGATGTTTAGTAGGGCCAGTTCTGGGGTGATTTCTAATCCCTTCTTGGTTATTTTACATATTTCTCGTATGGTTGTTGTCCAGAATAGTTGGATTTTGGGACACTCCCACCACATGTGGAGGTATGTGCCTGAAATAGGTTTTATCTTAAACAATTGCAAACATAGTAAATAAAAAGTTTGCTTGTATTATATAAGTGGTTCAGTGCTCATTTCTCCTCTTTCCAAAATAGATCTTATCTTGAACAATTATAAACACAGTAATAGAGCCCACTTGTGATATACCAGTGATTCAGTGCTCCAACATTGCTAAAGACCTTAGTCATCGAGCTTTGTAGTAAATAAAATACAAGAGAAGAAAGCATGTACGGTAAATGACTTAAAGCAGGGGTATATCTGTCCCCATCTGCATATTCCCATCGGGAGGAGCATAGAAAGAGGATGATGTCCTTCAGTTAGTTAAAATGACTTGCCATTTTTATGGACATTTATTGTTTGTTCACAGATAGTTGCCTTGGTGGTATTATATAGTGCAATTCAATGGCAGGTTCTACCATCATCAGTAAAGTGGGGCCTGCAGTAAAATGTTGCAGTGAGGAGTGCTTCTGTTCAGGGTTCCAGCCAGCCATGTCCCCAGAGCACTTTTATCTCTGCTCACCAGCGGCTTGCAGCCCCTGGTGGATTACCCTCAAGGGGAATCGGCCCTCTAGAGAAAAAAGGTTGCCCACCTTTGTTGTAGGAAGGGCCCCTTGCACTGCTTTCACTCACGTTAATATGAATGCCTCTTTCCACTTGGCTCTCACAGCTCTTCTTTCTGACCTTTTTTGCTTCCAGAGAAGAGTAGTGCAACAGAGGAGGCAGAGGGGAAGAAAAGGCGAGTGAGCCGAACAGTTTGCCCATTTTACTCCTATGAGCCCATGCAGCTCCTTCGGGATGAAGTTCTGGTTGAGGTGAAAGATATCGAGCAGCTGGTGACTCTGGGGAAGGGAATGAAGGCCTGCCCGTATTATGGAAGCCGATATGCTATCCCAGCTGCTCAGGTGAGCCCCACAAAAAGGCAAACCAGCCGCTTTCCTTTAACCTCAAATTCTTCAGCTGTTGAGCAAGGCAGGTGAAAAGCATGGTGCTGCATTTGTGTGTGTCTCAAACACTAGGCAAAAGCAGATTTAGAGCCAAGTACACAAACCTGGACTTCACGTTGGCTAATTGTTAGAATTACCTAAATAGTTTACCTCTCCTAGTACCATCAGTTGTCTTAATTGGCTATGTAAAAGACCTAGTCCTGTTGGGAGATAGATAAATTACAGAAATTGCCTCCACCCATTCGCTGCTGATTAATTAAAGTGCTTTCTGTCGGTGGAGGGGACGCTGTTGGATTCGGCCCAGATCAGATCAACCAAAAGTGATTTAATTGCCTGGCAGCAGAAACCTGGTAGTGCCTGCCTTTCGAACTGTTGCCCTGTTGGAGCAGCGGTAGCCATTGTAGTGCCCTTCAGATGCTGTAGACTGCAGCGCCATCATTCCTGACCGTTGACTTTGCTAGCTGGGGATGATGGAGGTTGTAGTACGTGATACCTGGAGGGCACCCTGTTGCCTAACTCTACTATGGAGGAAAAGGGCTCCGTTTCTTGCCTCCTGTCTTATATGCCTCTCCCAGGACCTTTTTGCCTGCTATGCACTGGCAACCTTGGGTTTGCCACTGAAAGTAAACTCAGTGGGGACTAGAAAGTAGTCCATGTTTGCAAATGCATCTTGCCCCTACTTCCTGTTCACACTTAATTTTTGTGTGTGTTTTGGGAATGCATTTGCACCATGTGTGGTGGACCTTACTTACCTTTAGTCCCATAAATGTGACAAATTGCCCTTGTAACCCAAGCCTGTGTCCCTCCTTCAGCTGGTGGTGTTGCCATATCAAATGCTTCTGCATGGAGCTACTAGAAGTGCGTCTGGGATCAAGCTGAAGGATCAGGTGGTGATCATTGACGAAGCCCACAATCTGATAGATACCCTCACCTGCATCTACAGTGCCCAGGTTAGCGGTTCTCAGGTGAGCCAGACCTCAGAGCCCCTGCTCTGCTGCTTGTTTGTTGGTCTTCCACCATAGAGTTCACATTTCCACAGTGGTGGGTTTTTCTTTTAAGCTGCCTTCAATGCCAACATTTTATTTCTATTATAGCTGTGCTGTGCCCATTCCCAACTGTTGCAGTACATGGAGCGCTACAGGTAAAGCTATTTACAACTCGAGTTGACATGTTTGAGCACAGTGTGAAACTAGGGTTTTTTTGCTATTTACATCACTGCCAATCTATAAAATTAATCAGGCTGCTTACAAAGTAGAAACAAGCATTATAAGTGGCTCAGTTTGGACTAAAACCAAACCATGGCTTTGCACCAATGAGCAAACATGTAGGCTCTTGGACGTAAGATGGCAGCCACAGCCCTCTTCCCTGGGACCTGCTGCTGCTGCACTATGCAAGACTAAGCCATGGTTTGGCTTACTGTTCTACCCAATTCAGAACTTATGGTTTGTCTCACTCCAGACAAACCACGAACAGTAACTAAAGGTTTGTTCTTGGTTTACTGCTCTTGGTTTGTCTGGAGTGAGACAAACCACAGTCTTAGGTTTGGATGTGGCACTAGGCCAAACCATGGCTTCGCCTCGGATAGCGTGGCAGCAGTAGAACAACAGGGTAGAGCACTGCAGTGCATGTTTTCTCACACGTGCTCAGCCATGTTTTAAAAATTCAATTGTGGGAAAATGCAAAAACAAGCATAAAGCACAGCACAAAACTTTCCTTCTAGCAGAGATAGTGTAAAACAATTTAAAACTATATTCTCCCTTCGCATGATGAAGAAAGGAGGGGGAGCATGCAAGTCCCAAGATGCGGTTGCTCATCCATGAAACAGCAATACGTGGTTTGCTGTTACAGTAAGATGCCAGTCATAGTTGTCTGTCTATACGTGGCAGTGTTTATTCACCACCAAGGGCTTCATTCTCTCCACCAGGGGCATAATTCTAAACCCCAACGTAGCTCTGTTGTGTCAGGAGCACTGCCTGTTCGCATTGAGACACCGTTTTATTTCTGTAATAGGAAGCGCTTGAAAGCAAAGAACCTGATGTACATTAAGCAGATTCTGTTTCTGCTGGAGAAGTTTGTGGCTGTTCTTGGAGGTAAGAGAGAATGTGGGTTTGTTGGTTTCCACTCGGGTGGGAACAGGTTCCTGCTACTTTCCTCAAAGGCATCAAGCCAAACCAGACTTTGAGAGACAGAGTTTGTCTCAAGGGAGGTGAAGCTGATCCCTCATTATATGGGCTCCCATTGCTCTGGGAGCCTCTGAATTTTCTTGTGTGTGAATATGCAAGAGCGACGGATCCCAGAAAAATTTAGGAGAACCTGAACAGTCCCAGTTGCCTGTACTGACCTTGTTTCTCCCCTTTCCCCAACCCAGTCCTCCTTCGGTCACCTCTGTTTTCCACTTCTGCCTCAACCTTTTCTCGGTTGCCATTTTTGTTCATTATAACAGGAAACTATGCAGCTAAATGAAGGTTTTTTTAAAGAGGTGCATAAAGAGGAATCTGCTTATTGCACGTGGGTCGTCCCCCCCAGGTGTCTGCTCGTGCTTTGGCTATACGCCATATAATTAAGTCAACTTCCTGTATTTACTGAACTTGCTACCAGCTTAATGTAATCAAATTCCAAATTGCTTGTTGAATTATTTTTTTAAAGCAGGTACAAATGCAATAAGCCCTTTAATGAGAAGCAAATTGGAATCTGTGTTTAGGGGGGGATACAGCCGTGAATGCACAGCACTGGAACGAAACGTTTCCTTCTAGGTGGCAGCCTTGGAGAGTGACAGAACTTCAGAATTGCGTGGCCTCTTAGACATCATCTACTTCTGCCTCTTGCTCAGTGTAGGGGTCTGCAGCTATAGCATCCTTGACAAGTGGTTGGCCATCCCCTGCAGTGGAGAGCCCATCATCCCACCTCAAGGCAGTCTATTCCACTGTCAAATAGCTTAGTGTCTTAGTGCCTTCTCAAGTTTGGCTGAAATCTGCTTCCTTTCCATTTCCATCTATGAGTCCTTCTGGAGCAACAGAGGGCAAGTCTGCTCATCTGCAGTTATTTGAAGGCTCTCATGTCTCCCTTTAGTATCTTAACCACATTTTTCACCTGTTCCCTCATATAGACGTGGTTTCCTGATCCCTCACCTGATAGCTCACTTCTGGACATATTCCAGTTTTAAAAAATAAACAGAAATCATATGTTGAACCCGGAAGTAGACACAGTACTCCAGGTACCAGTTTCTAGGCAGTAGCTGTAAATGATTCTTTTTACGGCAGAATCCTAAGCATGGCAACTCGGAAGTCACCCCCTGTTTTCAGTGGCATGTGTGGTCTAATTAATATGTGCACTTAGGATTCCTCCCTTGTCATCTTAGCTCCCTGTTTAGGATTTTTCGGGAAACAGCACTTTTAATTCAGAGTGGCTTTTTTGTAAACCATTTCTCATTGCTCTGCTCTTCTTTGTGTTCTACAGGAAATATAAATCAGAATCCAAACACTCAGAGCATTCCACAAGCAGGTACGTCATGCCTCCAATGTCTGAAATGACATGGGTCAGCTGGATATATGGGGTACCTAATTGGGAGTGAATAAGCAATATTTCTCTAGGAGAATTCATTCTTTCTCTCTTTCCCGTCCACTCAGGGGTGCAGCTGAAATCTATCAATGACTTTCTGTTCCAGTGCCAGATTGACAACATCAACCTCTTCAAGGTTAGGAATGGATTGGTTTGTTCCAGTGTCTGGAATTGTGCTGATAGGATTTGTGTGAAGCTGAGAACTCGCATCCAAGCTCTGAAGAGTGTTTTATTGTTTTTGTTTCAACTACTTATTTGTATTTTTAGCTTATGAACCACCCTGAGATCTTTTGATGAAGGGTAGTATATTAATAATAATAATAATAATAATAATAATAATAATAATAATATGCTCTGTTTCCAAATCAAAACATACTGCATTCCAGTATGTGTTTTTATTTTCTCCTCTGGACTTGTTAAGCAACGAAGTTTAAAGTGGTGGTGTTCCCTTTAGTCAGCTCCCCCTGTTTTCATGAACAAGAAGTTCCAGTTGTCATCCACAGTGCGGGGGGTGGGGCTTCCTGATAGTCAGGGATGGGAAAGTGAGTGGTAGCATGCGAGAAGGCCTATTCCTGGCTGTGGAATGCCCTCCCCATGGAAGTAAGGACAATAGGAAACTGCCTTATACCAAATTGTTCCATCTAGCACTGTATCGTCTTCACTAACTGGCAATGGCTCTCCAGAATTTCAGGCAGAGGATGTTCCCAGCCCTCCTTGGAGATGCCAGGCATTGAACCTGGGACCTTTTGCATGCAAATCAGATTCCCCACCACTGAGCTCTGGCCCTGCCCTGGCGTTGACAACATTCTCCTTCCGGTGCCAGCTTAAAACATAACCTGTTTTCCCAGGCGTTTATGTGAGATAGGTCTGCTTGAATCATCTGCAGCATCTTCTGAGTTTATTTTAATAGATATTATCTAAATATTTTAATAGATATTATCTAAAAGTATTACACTTTTTAAAACTTATTCATAGGGTTTCTTGAATTTCTTTCCTGCCCATCAGCATAAGGTCTTTGGGCAGGTGAAAACAATATAAAAATGCAGTATTAAAACCAATTCAAACAGTTTACAAACGGAATGTCAGGTGTCAAAGACAGACAGCAGAAGCTAGGTAAGGTAACCTATTCTGGAAATGGCTGCACTTGAGGCTAGGATCTAAATCTTTTAAATATGCAAAATTGGATATTATAACAGACCTCTTGTTTCCACCAGAGGTCTTTAGGCTTTAACAGACCCAGGGACCACCCAACCAGTGGTGTGGGACCCATTTCAAATTTATTTGACCCCCCCCAGTTTATTATTTTGGTCAATTCCCTCTTCTATCCTCTATTGAAACCTGGCCTGATCTAACCAGAATGATAATATAAAATGGGCTACTCTGTTTCTGACTGTGTGTCAGCTCTGCTCTTATTTGGAAAACCATTAAAAATTATATACTCCATGCATGCAAACCTAGCACATCAGGAAGGGGGGGGAAAAACGTTTACCCCACTTCCTCTCTATGGTGCTGGTTTTCTACTAGCAAGGCACATACTCCATCTTTCCAGAAGAAAATGCATGTGTATGTTACTTAACAATGATCAAGGACTTTCTCCTTCTGGAAGAGCCAGCCACATGCTTGGCAGTGGCAGAGTGGCAACTCTCGAAGCTTGAGCATCCTTGGAGCGTGGTAGGAATCCTTTGGAGGACTGCTTGCTTCTGCCTCTTACAAATCCACCTCTAACTTAAACCTGTGAAGTGAAGTGTAGTTCAGTCTTCTGCTGGAGCAACTAGTAGTTGAGTTGTGACAGTTGAACAGAGGTGGCTGGGATATGGAGCTAAGCAAATAAGATGAGTAAGAGCGTTCCATTGTGTGTTCTCTTTCTATCTCTTTTCCAACAGGTTCAACACTACTGTGCGAAAAGCCTCATCAGCAGGAAGGTATTGTTCTTCTCTGCCTTTTATTCTGCTAGAATGGGGGCAGGTACTTTCTGCTCAGATGCCTGTACAAAAGCTGCTTGTTGCTGCAACATTTTTGCAGGTTTCTCTCTGCAGTCTTGGGGACTAGAAACTCTCCCTCCCTTTCTCCCCTGTAAAGAAAATCCGAGGTACTTAATGGAACTGATTTCTGCAATTTCACACAAAAGGTCACTTATATGAAGTTGCTCTGAATGGTTGCCAGTTTGAATTTTCAGAGCAAAAAGGTAGCAATGTGGAGGGGACTATTTTCTGGGGGTGGAAATTAATAATGAAAATATTGTTTTAAATTTTTTTTGTCTGTGCCCATATCTGCTGCTGCTTTGATACCATTTTATTCCTGGTTAGGGCTTCTGTCTCCTTACTCTTTTTAAAAAAATGTTTTTATAAGATTTGCAAATGCAACAAGCAAAATATCAAAGTAAAAAAATAATTAAAACAGCCACAAAGAGGAATAAAAATGCAAGATAATAATAATACAGTACAACAACAACAACAATAAGCTTAACAAAGAATGAACAGCATAAAATACATTTCATCTCCTTTCTACAGTGTTCCCAGCCAATTGGGCATTATTTTATAGCCAAACCTGTACATTGTCTGAATGTAGAAGTTGCAGTAGGTTCTAAAGTTTTACCATGTGAGATTCTGCAGACTTTGCAGCAAAGGTCCCTGAGCGTAGAACCAGCTGTTATGGGCAATACCTTAATACTACTTCTAATCTGTCTACATTTTGGCAGCTCTTTGGCTTTATCGAAAGGTATGGGGCGTCTGGAGCTCTGAAAACTCGGAAAGAAGACCAGAAGATATCAGGCTTGCAGAATTTCCTGCAAACCTTGAACAAGAGGCAAGAGAAGGAAGGTGAGCTCAGGTGTTGAGTTGTGAAATGGGCTAGAAAAGGCAGAACCAATTATAATGGTTGCCAGTGCAGTGATTTCGTAACCCCATGGGGATGCTGGTGTATCCTCTGCCTGTGTGTGCTGCCCTTCCTCTCAATGGAATCAGAGGACCCACATGTATTCTTTTACATGTATGGGTTTGCTTACTCGGTGGAAATGAATGGGGCCTTTTCAAGCATGCAAGAGCTTCAGGTCCATGTGGACCAGGGTGTGTCCATTCACTCCACCCTGGGGAGCAAGTTAATTTACCGAAGTTGTTTCCTGAATGCCGTTTCTTCAGTTAGGGGGAAACAGCTTGAATTTTTTCCTTCTTTCCAAAATAAATTAAGTTTTGATGGGGCTGTGGGCATTTTTACACAGGGCACTTAGACCACGAGCCGAAAACTTGCATTGGCAAGAGTTTCATCAGTTTCTCTGCTTGATCTCATTAACAATTTTCAGATGTGGTATGAACGAAAATGGTCTTCTGAGCTTGTTACCCTCCTAGCTGCTGAGCATCCCCTGGCTTTGTGGCACTAAGTTCACCAGCTGAGGTTGCTCTTTTGGTCTGCAGGGACTCAACACAGCTCCCCTGGAGAGGCTGAGGATGAGCAGCCAAAAATGGCATCTCCCCTAATGCACATTGAGGGGTTCCTGGCTGCGCTCACAAATGCAAACCAAGATGGAAGAGTCATCCTCACCCGGCAAGGTACGGGGCAAGTTGATGGGTGTATGTTTTAAGTACATTATTTAACTAACTAAAATTGCAGTTGCTAGTATAGATCGAGGCCTGGGCCAAGGATTGTAAAGCCACTTGCTTCTGCAAGAAGCCACTCTCCTTGCAAGAGCCCCCCCCCCCAGTTTAGTTCAAAGCAGCCTGAAAATCCACAAGGATCTGTTTGCTTGGAGCCAGAAGTTGGACAGGAAAACCAACAGTGCTCTTCTGGTACAGGCAGCGATGGTGCTGTCAACCGCCCCCCCCCCCAATGCTCTCAAAATGTATCTTTAGGCGAAATTACAGTGTTGGGTAGATGGATGGCCACTGTCAGGGATGCTTTAGCTGAGATTCCTGCAATGCTGGGGATTGGACTAGATGGCTCTTGGGGTCCCTTCCAATTCCATGATTCTGTTTTCCTTTTCCAGGCACTTTAGCTCAGAGCAGCCTCAAGTTTCTTCTTCTGAATCCGGCGGTGCACTTTGCCCAGGTGCTGAAGGAGTGTCGGGCCGTGGTCATTGCTGGAGGCACCATGCAGCCGGTGAGAGACATTTCTTGACACCTCTAGACTTTTGTTTGATCTGAGGAGCGGTTGCTTACAAGCAGGCAGTGGTAGAAGGGGCTACATGCTGTCTTTAGGAAGCTGTGAACTCACACTGAAGGTTAACCAACGAAGTTGCTTTTATCCTAGTTGCAGAATTTGGAGCAGGAAGTATTGTAACCTTGGTGATAGATGGGACCCATCAATCACCATGCACATAAAGAGGGGTCGGGGGAAAGCTCACATAATTCACTTCAGAATGCCCTCCTTTGGGTAACAATTTTATGTCAGGTTTTTCCTCTCCTATCATGTTATCGAAGGATCAGGAAAATCTGAATTAAATAAGCATTGGAGGGGGAGTGTAGGCTTCCCTTTGGATGACAACAATATGTGGATGGTGTCAAACACTTGCACAACTGGAGGCCCCAAATCCACTTTAAACTGGTGGTGTACACAACCTGAACAAATACTGCACAACCTTTATGGAGCAGGCCCTTCCTGGCAAAAGAACAGAGTCTGCTAGGTTTATAAGGTGCCTCCTTGAGTCTTTGGCTCACATTATTATTATTATTATTATTATTCTAATTATTATTAATTAGAAGCTTGACATTCAAGCCTGTGCTTTGCCCTATTTCTTCAGGCTGCCTGCTGCTTTTGATAACTCCTGGATCCTTAGCCTCTTGTGCTTGACCTTCAAGTGGTGATCTTGCCAGGAGGGGTCGTTTCAGAAAAATCAGGATTTCAGTAACACCATGGTGGCAGGACCAGTCTCTTGCAGGCTTTTTGCATCTGAGCCCCAGCTGCTGGCAGCGTATAAGTGGAGCTGCAGAATATAGGGGGTGGGGAAAGGAGTAAACCTTGGGTGTATAGCTAACCAGCAATCCCAGTTGGAAGGGGGATGTGCTGTTTCAAAAGTCAGGGAGGAATGTTTTTGTTACTTATGCTTTCCTGCTTAAGGTGTGTGCGTGCGCACACACACACGAGATCCCAAATTCAATCCCTGGCATCTCCACGTAGGGCTGGGAATGTTCACGGTCTGAAACCCTGTAGAGCTGCCGTCAGTCAGTGGGCACAATGCCGAGGTAGATGAAGCCAGTGGTCTCATCTGGTCTAAGTCAGCTTCATATGGTCGTATAACTAGGTATGAAAATTGTTGGTATGGAATTCTTTACAGCCCCATAGCTCTAAGCTGTACCATACGAGGCCAGTACAAGCCCCTTCATAACTGGGGAAGAGGGAGGAGAATGGGCTTTGACAATGCATAGCTCAGTTGGTAGAGCATGAGACATTGTGGGTTCGAGCCCCCTGTTGTGCAAGGTTACAATACTTCCTGCTCCAAATTCTGCAGCTAGGATAAAAACAATGCAACTTCACTGGTTCATGATTATGGAGCTGCACTGGCTGCCAGTGATCTGTCTCCAAGGCCTTAACATTGGTTTATAAAGCCCAAAGCAACCTGGGTTCTGTGTACTGTGAGGGAGGACTGCAGCTCAGTGGTAGAGCATCTCTGCATGTGGAAGGCTCCAGGTTCAGTCCCCGGCATCTCTAAGTAGGGCTGGTAGAAGACCTCTACCTGAAATCCTGGAGAGCTGCTGCCGGTCAGTGTAGACAGTACTAAGCTAGATGGACCAATTGCTTGACTCGGTATAAGGCAGCTTCCTATGTACTTAAAAAGGCCACCTTATTCCCTTGACCACTGCACAGTCTTCGTATTCGGCCACTGAGGCATGTGAGCTGTCCATGACGAGAAGTTGTGCATTGAGTGTGGCGTCATGGGGACTGTGGAACTCTCTGCCTCATGAAATCAAGCTGGCACCATCTGCTGTGAGCTTTAGGTGCCACCTATAAAAGGCTTAGTTACTTCAGCAAACCTTCTTAAGAAAAAAAAGATGCATTTGTTTTTTTTAAAAAAACCTTGTTAGATGGCCCATTTTGTCCTTGCTGTTCTCTTGAATACATTTTGCTTCCGTTTTTTATTTTTTAGGGTGTTTCGCTTTTAACCGAGATCTGATAGTGTTCTCCTAGCAGTGCAGCAATAAAACAGTTAGCACATTTGCAAAGCTAAGCTGGGTTTGGTATGGTTTCAAACTGGATGGGGTTCTGCAGTTTCCTGCATTGCAGGGGGTTGGACTAGATGACCCCAGGGGTCCCTTCCAACTCTAATGGTTCTGTGTTTGCAATATAGAAAGGAATAAAATAAACAAAATCTGATGATGTGATGAAGGAGCCACTTGGTGGCAGTACTGTACTTCATTTCCTAGCATGGCCAGTGGGACTGAGGGAGCTACGAGTTGCACCATCTGGAAAAGCAAGTCAGATGGGACAGAAATCAGAGAAATGGTCAGGGTATGCACTGTATTCCTGAAATGTGGGAAGGCACAAGCTTTGCAAATGATCTTGTGGCCATTTAGTCTTCTGGATGCAGCCTAATAATTACACACCAACCTTGTGGTGCAAATGCCACTTTGGTCTTCCAGATGTGGCATACAACTGGTTGGTGTCACAGTTCAGTTGTGATGTTGACAACATGCTGGTGTACAGCCAGCCTTAAGGATACAGTGGTACCTCGGGTTAAGTACTTAATTCGTTCCGGAGGTCCGTACTTAACCTGAAACTGTTCTTAACCTGAAGCACCACTTTAGCTAATGGGGCCTCCTGCAGCCGCCGCGCTGCCGGAGCACGATTTCTGTTCTCATCCTGAAGCAAAGTTCTTACCTGAAGCACTATTTCTGGGTTAGCGGAGTCTGTAACCTGAAGCGTATGTAACCTGAAGCGTATGTAACCCGAGGTACCACTGTAGTTTGCAACGCAGGCATTATCTGAAGGACTTTTCACTGAGGGTTTCTGAATATTATTTTTGAACGTTACTTATTTTAGGCTGCCTTTCTGAACAAAGTCTGCTCGAGGCATTTATAGAGCATAAAATCAAGATAATACAACATTAATACTTTAAAACTTTTTTAAAAGTTCCAAAAAATTCAAAGTAAGCAACAAGCGTTTAAAACATAGTGGAGCCCAGAAAAAAAAATTAAGAAAAGACCACACACCAGAGTGATAAATTTATTAGAAAGTTGCTCTCTTACTTGTGTGCTCTGGAGATGCAATGGAAAGAGTTGGGCCTGCTCTTTGTTTTGCTTATTTATTTTATTAGGTGCATTTATAACCCACCTTTCATTTTAGCAGATTCCCAGGGCAGATGACAAGATACAGATTCAATAAAATTGCAGAAAAACAGCTATAAATCATAAAAGCTAGCTTGACAGCAGCTAAAGTCACAGGGCAGGCTGGCAACCACAGCTGAATATTACTACAGTGCACCACTGAAATATTTGCCTTGTGGGTGAAAGGGATTCTGGGAGGTTCTGTAGGCATCTCAGAAACAGGGAGGCGATATGCTGAGAGGGTTGGTTCAGTCTCTTGAATGGCTTCTTCCTGTGGTGCAATGGGTCAGTGTGTCTGACTGGAACATAGTTTGCTAAGGGAGCTCATTCCTTGCATGCAGGACACCCAGGTCCAGTTCTTGCAATTTACACTTAAAAAGATCTCAGCTAGCAGAGCTCTTTAGAGCTGCTGCCAGACAGAGTAGACAATACTGGGCTCTATGGACAAGTAGCAAGAACTGGTATATATACAGTAGCTTCCTACATAGGTAGCAGGATTTGGTTTCTGGGTAGGACGACTTGGGTGACCTTGGCCAAAATCAAGGGCAGAGCACACGAGCCCATCTAGCCCTGCCTGCTGCTTGAGCCTTCCTAGTTTTTTATGAAAGCCTTGTGACTTGCAGGTGGCCGATTTCCGGGAGCAGCTGCTTGTCTGCGCTGGTGTCGGTGCCGACAGGATCGAGGAGTTCTCCTGCGGTGAGCCTCGGAGACAGGGAAGGGAAAGGAGTGCTTTTAAAATTACTATTATCATCCAGCAAATTGCAGTGGGCAGATGGACCCTGCCTGCCTGTTGCTATGGCACTGTGTGTAGCAAAACGTTCCCTGCTCCATCCTTGCCTGCCGAAATGCTGCAGCCCAGTGGCCTCCCGCCTCCAGCACCACTTTACACGGGGAATCCCTGGCAGCATCCATACTGGCGAATGCAGCTGTACTTGCAATAAGCTGAAAGCAAAAGGGCCAGAACTGCTGTTTTCCTCCCTCCACCCAAGATGGAAAATGCAACGATGGCAGCAAGTTCCAGTGAATTAACTAGGGCTTCCTGCCATATGAACATGACTGTAGGACAGAGACATCATGTTTGGGACAAGTGGGACCTGCAACAAAACACTGCTCCCATTCAGGGTTCCAGCCAGCCATGCCTGCTTCCAGCAGACTCCAATCCATGCCCCCCAAGTCAGTTGTCATTCCTTGCCCACTGAGAACTTGTCTGCATTGGAGTGTTGAGTGAGTGAGTGAGTGAGTGTGTGTGTGTGTGTGTGGTGTCCACTTAGGCTTTCTCTCTTTTTGTACTTTTCAAACCTTGGGGTTTCCCTAAGCATTCCTACCTCCCCCAGTTTTGTTTGTGGGTGGTGCCCTTTTGGCTGTGTAAGGATTCACACTTGGGTAATCGAATTTGCTATTAGCATATGATAGTTAAGAGCCAAATGATCTTTCTCTCCCGCTTGCCAAAGTAGGAGTGATTCAGGGCATTGTTTCTTTAGGAGGAGAGAATCTTGAAGGCGTGGGTGTTGCCATGGAAATATGCCTGTTTACAGATCTCCAGGCTGAGAAGAAATGTCACGAAATCAGCAGTCAGTGTGGCTCATGCCAGTCCCCAGACAGAATCAGTGCTTGCTATGAGAATCCACAGCTATTTGTGTTATGCACAGGTGTCAGTGCCAAACTCACATCCCACCTTGCTTCCCATGTCACCCCTTGAGTTGTGACTTTCAAGCGTTCAGTCAGGGACTAAGGAATCCTTGCTCTGATTAAATTACACCTTGTGTTTTTATTGGCTCGCTTTAAGGTGGCTCTACCACACAATTTGCTTGACCACTGAAATCTGGTGGTGGCCTGTGGGTCCAAAGGTGGATTCAGGTACGGCTTTGCTTCCAAGCAGCTGTGACGAAGGACGGCTGTTCAGCTTCACTGCCTCTCATTCCTTCTACCTGCTTATATGTTGTCAGGTCACGTGATTCCGCCAGACAACATTTTACCCATCATCCTCTGCAGCGGCCCATCCAACCAGCAGCTGGAATTCACTTATGAGAAGCGAGGCCTACCTCAGATGGTCAGTATCCGTCCCATTGCTTTGACTGTTCAAGATATGTCGCTTCATGTTTTGAGCTTGCTGGGGGGGAGATGCAATAGGCCTTGGCACCCATCGAGCCCAGCATTCTGTTATCACAGCAGCTGTTGGGATGTAGCAAAACTTACTCCATTCCGATAGCCTTTTCAGAACTCACAATATGCTCTGTACAAAATAATAAGCCGCTGCTAGAACAAATGGGGTGAAGGAGAGGAGGGTAGAGGGTGGGGTTTGGGGGCTGGCTGCTTCCTCCGGGCCTAATATTTAATACAGGCAGTGGCTTTTGTTTTGTTTTTTTAAATATTTTTATTAGTAATTTCAACATAACATTTTATCAAAAAACACATCATCCTTAAAAATCCCCCCCTATTTTTCCCTCCCTCCTCCCCAAAATATAGCCCCCCCCAAGACTTCCTCAGCTCCTCTCTCTGGTTTATTAACATATGTTATTTTCTGCATGTTACAAAACTGTGCAGATCCTTAATTTATCTATCTAGATGTTATCAATAAGAAGTTTGTGAATGTTTATTCAACAGGCAGTGCCTTTTGAATCCGGTGCCCTAAAGATTGTGGTGGCTTCTTTTCTCTCTTTAGATGGCAGAGGCGGGCCGGATCCTTTGCAACCTGTGCAACGTCGTCCCTGGGGGCGTGGTGTGCTTCTTCCCCTCTTACGAGTACGAGAAGCAGGTTTATACGCATTGGGAGAAGACCGGGGTGCTTACCCAGCTGGCCTCTAAAAAGAAGGTAGTTGCTCGGCCGGGTGCTGCTGGTGCTTTTAGGCGGAAGCCATTCGTTCCAGAATCAAACCATTATTGGCTGATTACAGTCCTCTGCTCTGTTTTTTGTTCCCTCTCCTTGAGTTGTTCCCGCTGCCTGCACAGTGAAGCAGAGAGGATGTTTGTTTATATGTCCAATTCCCCTCCACCCTCCCGCCCCCCCCAATAATGAATAAGCAATACTTGCTGGGCGACTGATTGGTGTACTTGGGTCTAAATTAGATTAAGCGCTGCTCCATGCTTTCTCAAAGCACAGCAAGCTTGGCCCGTTTGCAGCGGAGGCAGACAAGAGCCCAGAGATGAGGGCCATTTGAAATTTATTTTGCAAATCAAAAATTAAGCTTCTGTAACCTGGAGAGCTAAATCCTGAGAGTTCATTGTGAGCACAACAAATCATGAGCAAACGGGACATATGGCATTGCATAATAAAAACCCATTCAGTTGTGTGTGTGTGTGATTCTCAATTTGTGTCCTCATAACCAGGTTGCCCAGGACCCAATTGAGGAGCATCACAGTCAATTGGGGATTTGAACCTTAGTTTCCTACTGACAAAATCTGTGTTTTTAATAAATAAATAAATAAAAGCATAGCGAAGATCCTCTTGCTGTGACGGTGCAGATGCTACACATGTCTGAAGAGGGTTATTCCGGTACCAAGTCTCTTGTCGTCTTCCTCCATGTTTCCTGCTATGATGCTGCCTGAACTGGTTGTGCCAAAGGAGCAGTTAATTCTCAGTGGGGAAGCCGAGGCCTCCATATTTGGTCAGATTCACCTGATTCTTGTCTAATCTGTAGTGAATTTAGAAACAGCTGCTGGAATATTTTGGACCAAGGTTGAGTTGTTTTTGCTACCGCCTGGAGGTGTAATGTTGCTACACTTGCTGAATTGAAATTCTGGGGTGGGTTTTTTGTGTTTTTTTTTGTATTCTGTTAAGTTTGTTTGCTATTATGAAATTGTTCTTGCAGTGGTTGATCCTGTGATGTATTGCTGATCTCCTTGTATTAAGCAACTTTCAGCATGATTTTTGTGTGCAGAAAGACAACATGCAACTACAGTGGTACCTCGGGTTAAGTACTTAATTCGTTCCAGAGGTCCGTTCTTAACCTGAAACTGTTCTTAACCTAAAGCACCACTTTAGCTAATGCACAATTTCTGTTCTCATCCTGAAGCAAAGTTCTTAACCCGAGGTACTATTTCTGGGTTAGTGGAGTCTGTAACCTGAAGCGTATGTAACCTGAGGTACCACTGTAAACTGATAATGATAATGTGCTTTGTGTAAGTTCAGCATCTCTCCATCAACTGATGTTTTCTGCATTTTTTAAACAGATATTTCAGGAACCAAAGCGAGCAAACCAGGTGGAGCAGGTGTTGGCTGAATATGCCAAGTGCATCAAGGTGAGAGCCATGGGGCTGGCAGGCTGCTAAGTTACTTAGTGGGAAAAGGCAGTGCTCTTGTATCAGCTCAGCCAAACGGCCACTCTGCTACTTTGGCCCAGAGGTGGGCTCATTTCCCAGCCTTTAACCACCCACCCCCTGGGGGCGGGGCTTTATTTTATGCAGCGTTGCAGCCAGTCAGGAGGCCCCATGACAGGAGCGCTGCTGTTCTCCGTCGTTGGTGGGAAAATGAGCGAAGGAATCAATTTTTCTGATGACCTGGGAAGGTAAATGACTGGCTTGTGATAGGAGATGTGGAAATCCCCCCCATTAACCCTTTCTCCCCTGTGCAGTTCTGCAGCTGAAATACTTTATTGTAGTTCCAAGTTGTTGATTTTGGCAGTGAGGTAGAGGGGCAAAGGAAATGTTTTACCATAGTTTGTTTTTTGTTTTTGCTGGAAGCCTCCCAGAACGGCCGGGGCAGCCTAGTCGGATGGGTGACATATAAATAATAAAATCATTAAATGCATAGACTGGAGACTTGCAGCCTCTGGATGTTGGAAGGACTTCCTTAAGCGATGATTTGCCTTTAGCAAGATGCAGCCGTTTCCTCTTAAGGCTCGTCCTACCCCACTGTTACTTAGAGGACTAAAATAGGTCTCAGAAATTGAATTGAGCCAGAAGTGCTACTAGAGGCACAGATTTTCACAGGGAGCAAACTTGCACTAGATTAAACCTCCTTCTCCACACTCCCACGGCAAAAAATGGTTGCCCGAATTCTGTTTCAGTTTATTTGAAAGTTTCCTGAGCTCTTATGCATAATTCCAGGAGGAGGAAAACTGTCTTGCATCTAATGTACTTGCTCCACAATCCTATTAATGCAGTGTTAGGATGAAACATGGCCTCTTTGACATTTTCCTGCTAAAAGGGGCATTGTGGTATTATTACAAAAGCTAACGAAATACCTGTGGTTGGTGGGTGGGTGTCTGTCTTTCTCTCTTGTCTCCCCCCGCCCCCCATTCCTAGGTGTGTGATCATGGTGGGCATGCCTTACCCCAACATCAAGTCTCCAGAACTTCAAGAGAAAATGGCATACCTTGACAAGACTATGGTAACTGTCCACCCCTTTCCACTCTTGCTGGATCTGCTTTGCAATGTGGCAAAGCAGTTTAGGGACACGCTTGCATTATGGATAACTCTTTTCATAGCCATGTACCTTTTTGCTGTTCTTGGGAAAGAGCTATTTCCCCACCACCACCTCCCCCCCCCCATTGGCCACCCAAATTAGAAAGTTAATGTTGCTCCTTTGAAACCCGAAGTGCTTAAACACACACACACACGCTTCATTCATCTTAAGTGAGAGAGGCTTGTAATTGTTCCCCATTCTTACATGAGGTTAACAGCTTGGTCCTTGTAATGGAATTTAACTACTGCAGTATCCAATTAGTGGCTGGCAACAGAGGCTCATAGCATCAGGCAGAACAGCGCTTAGGGCTTCTTCACAGGGAGCTCATAAGACAGCCTCAGCTGAAAACTTTATTACATCTGAGGTGAGGGGGAAACTGTGCACAGTTCCTCTTAGGTGGCTGATTCATCGCTCCTTGATACTGTGACACGATTCGCTTGTCGTGCATGAGCCATGCATGTTGTATTAATTGCCCTTAATGTCTCTGTGCGTGGAGAGCACTGGCTGTTTATTGGCTTGGGAATGAGATAGTGCTGTTGCTTTCATGATGTAAGGGTTCTTGGGGGGGGGTTGTTCTTTGGTAAATCAGGCAGGATGTGTGTTTGTACCTCAAGCAGCACATTTCCATGCTCAGTTCCTGGGACACCTCTTATTTTTGCTTCTTATGCAGGGCCGAAATCAAGATGGAATCTCAGGCTTTGAAATTCATTTGTCATTACCTTATTCGAAAGCTAAGCACCTAGACAGGTGTTTCCCCATTATTTAGGATAAATAATGCGTACCTTTGAAAACTGACTCCTCCTTTTACCCTTTCTTCAAGCCCAGCTGTAGCTAGTACTGGATATGCAACCTGACTTGACTGGCAGGCCAAAATGTAGTTCAAGTCCTTGCTGCTTTCATACCTGCTCTGGTGCTGCCCTCTGAAACTGCTGCATTGAGGGTGGGTAGTCAGGAAGGCTCTTGACTCTGGGGATACTTTGCTCATTGTTACCTATCTCTTGTCATCTTGGTTTCCCTCCTCCAGCCAAAAACTGCAGGCCAGGCACCAGGCAGAACTCTGATTGAGAACTTGTGCATGAAGGCAGTCAACCAGTCAATAGGTAAGTGCAGAATTCGCAAGTGGGTTTTGATGTTCTCCAAAAGAGCAGTGATGGTGGCTTCCTGTGGGCTGGCAGAATTTAGAAGCAGCTATTTCTGATGCATGCAGCCTGAACCTCAAGCAGTGAAAGCAACAGGAACAAAAGTACCAACTTGTCAATAATTTTGCACAGTCCTCAAGCTGCCATCCGTCACGTTAACCCAGCCTTGTAAATAGCCACATGCCTAGCTGTTCATGGTAAGAGAGAATCTCCCCATAGCAGTAACTGAGCAAGGACGCTTTTGTAAGCCAGAAGAGGAACTAGTTTTCTTTCTCATGCAGCGGTTATCTCATACGTTGGTGGTGGGGGGGGGACAGTAATTCTGTGAACATGTGTAAGGTTGCCTTAGTGCATCACATTGGCTGCTCCTGCTGTAATAAGTTGACAGCTGAGTGATTTGTGTGTGTGGCTTCTCTTAACAGGGAGAGCAATTCGCCATCAAAAGGACTTTGCCAGCATTGTGCTCTTAGATCACAGGTATGCCCGCCCAGCTATTTTCAACAAACTACCTCAGTGGATCAAGAGCAGGACTCAGACCAAACCTGTCTTTGGGCCAGCCTTTGCAGCACTAAGAAAGGTGAGTCACAATACTAGGTTCTGCTTATTCCCACAACACACACACAAACACTCTCCATGGAATGAGAATCTTGGCATTGGTTCTTACCATGGCCTGCAATGAGGTTGGTTTATGAGGATGTGTGGAACACCAGCTCACCAACATCATCACATGCCTGCCTTCTTTCTTAAATCTAGTTAGACATAAAATTTATGGAAATTTCGAAGCTGTTGAAAGGGGGGAAATACTTTTTCCTCCAGTTTTTTTCATGTCATTTTATTTCTTGATTTGGGGTATTTCCAAGCATAGGCCAGGTTCTCCCTCCCCACATGCTGCAGAAAATGGAAGAATTGTGTAAGAAAGCAAGAGGAGTTGGAGGCTGTATTGAGCAAAGCTCTTGCCACCATGTAGCAGGAGGGATGTGCTTGGCAGAATTCCAGGCTGCATTCCTTGGCCTTGCTGTCCAGTCAAATGCAGAAGTGGGGTTACCATCGCTTACGTTTTTGTCTTTTGAATTTTTGGCCCAACGGATTTGCAGCAGCATGAATTGGATGGCAACAATATTAACGTTGCTCAGTTCTTTCTCCCACTCCAAGTTCTTTGAGGCCTAGTTAAGAGGGCAGAAATATGTGCTGGCTGTGCCAATGAGAGGGCACAGAAGCCTTCTCTTGTGACAATGGCAGTGCCCTCCAAGAGGCAGAACTACATCTTGCGCTTACATTTGAGAGTATACAACTTGGTGCTTGCTTGTCCTCGGTGTACGGGTTTCGTAATGATACTGTACATAGTTTTACGAAGAAGTCTTCCTGTTAAGAGTTTCAGAAATCATTTTAGGAGACTAAATATATTAACACCTGGTCTATTTCATAATCCTTTTTTCCCTTCAATTTTTTTGAGGGGAAAAACCAAAAAAAGGCTTGGAAAAAGCCCCCCCCCCCCGCCCGAGTTTTTCCATTCCCCCTAGGCTGTCACCTCTCTGCATCCAGTCCATGGGGGTGGCCCTGCCTAGCAGCTTCCTCCTGTGTCGCCTCAATGTTGGCATTGTAGAACTCTGCGGGAGAAATGGTGGGGGCACAACTTGGAACTAGTTAGTTCTGCCTCCCCCCTCCCCAGTTCCAGCAGGTGCTTAACGCCTGCTCATGGCTTGGCTGTTGGGATTGTGCTTCTGGTGGTTCCACGCCTGATGTAATTTCCATTTTCTGTTCTGCAGTTTCATGTGGAGAAGAGATCAAGTTGTGAGTCTTTACCCTTCAGATAACGGAAATGCTTGCAGCTGCCTCATCCCCTCTGTGTGAAGTGCCTTCAGTGTTTGTTTATGTCAATATTGTTTTTGAATTTCTCAATAGCTAAAGCATTCTTTCAAACCTCATGCTTAAGGAGTTTTGTGTTGCCAAGCCTTTAGGCATGTTGCACTATGAGTTCAGGTTACAGAAACCCTGTGGGAGGAGAGGGGTCCTCTTTTATTTGTGCTAGACAAGAGTTGCTCTGTTCCTGAGGGTAAGTGAGCAGCTGTATCCCTTGTGATGTATCCCTTGTTCATTAGTCCCCCCCCCCTTGCATATTTGTACCAGTGGTGGTTCTGGGCCCCTCTCTCTCTTGTCATCTCTATAGATAAGGGCTGCCAAAAGTCTGGATTTTCCCGGACATTGCAGGGATTTTCATTAGTGGAACTGATGCACTTTGTCCTGGATCCATAGCTGTCAACATTTTCCTTTTTTTAAGGGAAATTCCCTTATTCCAAATAGGGTTCCTCGCAAGGAAAGAGAAAAGTTGACAGCTATGCCTGGATCTCAGACAAGTCCATGGAAAAATCGTGTTTTGGGGTTTTTTTTAGAACTGGCTTAGATGGGAGGGAGAGAAAACCCAAGCAGAGATTTTGAAGAATTGTAGAGGTCTGTTTTAAATATGCTTTAAAGCGAGAGAAGCCAAAGCTTCTTTCCCCTTCCCCTCTGCTTGAATGTGACCAACTACAAAGTGAAAGAGAGCAAACGTGTGTCAGGAGGACACTGACTTGGGTCACTTCAGCTTTTGAAGCTGTAAGCCAGGCTGATGAGAAGTTTAAACTGAATAAATCCTTTCAGCAAAGGGAGTGCTAAGCTTTCAGCTTGCTTATCTGAACTTTAAGCAAAAAAGTTCCTGTTGTCAGAGCAACAGCCACAGGACTGGTGAAGTAGCTACTGGTCCATCCAGGGAAGAAGACAAGCTGTGTTTAGGGGGAGAGAAGGAAGAGAGTGTGATCCCTTTTAAAGCCTCAGGAAAGAAGGCACAGATCTTGCATGCATGCAAGAACTAAAGAACGGAAGGCTTCATTAAACCACTTGCTCCTTACAGCCCTCCATGCATTAAAAGTGGGACCCACCTTTTATAGTTCCCCAAGTATTATATAAATGGGAGACCATAATATACATAGCTATTTGATAGCTAAGAACTCCCGGCCAATTATACATCCCTGTTAAAGATGCATCCAGCTGTTAAGTGCTCCCCAGAGCAACTAGAAAGAGCTTCCACTGCCTTAGCCTAATGTGACCATAAGCAAATGTAATCTTTCGTCCACAGATAATAGAGGGTAAGGAGAAAGGGGAGAGGTAGATTTACCTCCTGTATATGATGATCTATTGTTTGGGGGCAGAGAAGAGAGAACTGGAGAATGAGTTTTTTAATACTAGTGTAATTAAGCTTCTCCTGTGGCCATTCAAATGGGGCAAGGTGTATGTGTAGTATTCCCAAAAAGCTTAGTGGCACCGGCTGTGAAAAAAGTGGCACTACCCCTGTCTTCCTGGGTAATTTAATTTTAATTCTGTCTTTTACATTCTGCACTGAAGATACATAGCAGAAAACAAATCAGCAGTTAACTTGCATTTGACTTTTAAAAAATCAGTACTCTATTACATGGACAGGTCAGGGTGCTGCTTCCTTGCACAGCCAACTACATAGAAAAGTGGGCTGAGAGAGAAAATAAAAAACCTCTCCCAGTCCTTAGGCACCCTTCAAAGCCCATATCACTCCCCCCTGCAGGCCTCAGACCAAGGAGGGAAATGTTTTTTTGCTGACCAGAACGGCCTTGATGATGCTCTTTCATGCATCCCATCCCATTGCAGGGGCAGCTCTTCTCAGAAGTATAGAAACTAACCTGACTTTGGTCTTCTGAGCATGAGCAGCAGGTCCTGCAGAGAGGGCAACTTGAGATGGTTCACACAGCTGGACGGAAGCAGCAGCTGTCCATCAATAAGCATACTTGGCAAGAGTTAGAAACAAGCCAGAACGGGGAAGGGGAAAGACAAGCATCTGATCTCTCGATGAGATCAGTGTGTCCCTGACCAGAGCTTGCCCCTTACTGAAGCGCTTTCTTCAGCCCAGCAGCCGTCCCAGGTTAACAGCATGGAAGTGAACTCACGACAAAGTCCCGAGAGCAGATCTAGGACTCCCAGTCATCTTCATCCTCTTCGCCAGCTGGCTGCTGGGGTGGCGGCAGAGGGGGGATCGTATCAGAGATGCGGCCGAAGGCGCCCGCTGGCACGTTGGGGGTGTTGCTGTCTCCTCCAGCTGCAGGCCCTTTGCCGGAGATGCCTGCATTGGGAGGAAAGGAAAGCACACGCTGCATGAAGCCAGTGGCAGCCGGTGAGCTAGAGGGCAAGGGAAGCAAGCTAGGCTCAGCAAAGAGAAGCAGGGTGAACCGGAAAGCTTTCTGTCGAATCCAGTGCCAGTCCCAGGAAAGGAAGGCTTAAAGGCAGGGACAGAGAACCTTTGGCCCCCCCAAGCTGCTTTTGCACTATAGCTGCCCCCTGTCCCAGCCAGCATAGCCAGTTCTCGGGGGTGATGGGAGAGAGAAATTCCTCATTACGGGCTTAATGGGAGGAGAATGCCTCATAGTCCTCAGAGAACACCATGGTCAGGCCTTGACCTAATTCTGTAGCAAGTGTTTTGTCTTGCCACTGCTCATGTTTCCTTCTCAGGAACTCAAGAACTCCAGCCTGCAGCATACTGGGACTTTAGAGAAAAGTATTATACAGGGCATGGAGAAAGTAGATACAGAAGATTTTCTCTCTCTCTTTATCTAACACTAGAACTTGTGGACATCCAACAAGGCTGCATGTTGGAATAACTTAGGACAGGTAAAAGCTTTAAAAGAGGATTTTGGACAAATTCATGGAGGAGGAGGAGGGCTGTCACTGTGGAGGCAGTAATTTGTCCGCATACCAGTCGCTGGAAACCATGGGAAGGGCTCTCTGGAGCTCTTGCACTCGTGTTCTGTTTGTTGCTTTCCTAGAGGCATCTGGTTGGCCACAGAGAGCAGGATGCTGGACTAGATGGGCCATTGGCCTGATCCAGCAGGCTCTTCTTATCTACAGCCCTCACAGCCAAGTCAGCAAAAAGCAATCTGGAGTTGCATCTTCCGTGCTATTTTGCTGCACATGGATTTTCAGACTGTTGCAGTGAGTTTCACATTAAGAAACACAGTTGGAGCCTGTTTCACTTGGTAGGGGGCTCCAGATTTTGCTCCAGATATAACAGATCTGGGAGCAAACTGAATCGCCGTGGTGGAGGGGCGAGAGAAGAGTCCTGCTGCTGCAGTGCACCCACTACAGAAGTCTTCTAGCTGTGCTTGATTTGGCAAACCCTGCCAATCTTTTGGGAGTGACATTAATACTTTTCTAGTACAGATGAAACCTAGAGACGGTGTGAATATTCATAGTAGGGCTGGGTGCATCTGGTTTGAACAGGTCAGCCCCAATTTAAGCGAAAGGGAGCCATCCATTGAGCACTGCTCCACTCAAGATGGGCTTGCCCTTGCCACCCCTGCTGCTATGCCCTCCCTGCCCCTTTCCCCCACCCAAAAGGGCCTAAAAACCCTGGGGAAGGAGGAAAAGTTAACAAGCAGCAGAGGGCGAGAAGAGCAGCTTAGCTGGGATATCTGAGTGTTCATATCCAACACTCGAGAAACCTCTTGACATTATCTGAGTGACTGATTAGTTTGGAACACTTGGAGAATCCAAATTCATTTTGACGGGGGCAAAAAATACCTCTTAACAGCAAGCCACTCAGTTGACAGAACTTGCAGAGCAGCAGGTAATTCTGCTAGTCAGCATGAGACCCTCCCTGCTGGCAGGAGGGTGCAAAAGTCCCATCTAGTCCAGCATTTCCCACAATGGCCTGGGACGTGGAGTGCACCTGACTCCCCCCCCCATGGGGAATCTCTCACACAGAACTGATTCTGAAGGTTTGAAAAAAGTGCTGGGGGAATCTAAATCTGCATAATGTGTAACTTGGCTCTGAACCTTTTGATCAACTGCAAGAAGAAAGCCATACTTCCTGCTGTCAGGAGGCTCCCTAACTTTTGCCTTGCTAGAAACCTGGAGAGGGAACAGCTTGATGCATCTTAACATACCTTTGCGCCGGAGGACCAGTTTGTTGAAGAGATCTGACATGAGGTCTCCACCCTGCCCTGTGGCTCTCACTGGGGGGAAACAAAACCACAAATACAAAATCAGACAGACGATAAAGGAATGCAGAAAGTAGCGGAAGTCTGCTGGCAAATATATATATATAGTACTTGACAGACTTCATTTTTAAAAAGACAATGGGAAACCTGGTGGGATTGCTCTACCTGCACCACTCTGAAAGTCGATAGCAATATTGGTATACAATACATGGGCAGGGCTATGAGTGTGTTGCAGTGCCAAAGGAGCACAGAAACGGGGTTCAGCGCTTTCCTTTTAAAAAGCAACAAGGTTCTAGCTCTCATGGCTGGGCAGAAGGGGACAAAACCTAGCATTAGTTGACTCAAACTCCCTTGTGCTTGTCTCCCTGCCACCTGCCCTACCAGACCAAATGGGCCCTATTAGCGCCACACAGCTTATTTGAACCAAGCCTAAGAAAATGCAAGGCTGTGATGTAGCCCAAGCAGAGAGTGAAGAGGGCTTCGAAAAAGGCTAAGCCACGTTTTTAAGAGGCCACTTCCTCTAACCTGCCTCCTTGGTTCTCAGTATGAGAATGCTTCCCATAATAAACTTTCTAACCAGCAGCCAAGTCATTCCTGAGGAAATGCAGTAGTGTAGTCTTGCAGTTGGAGGTTAAATGTGGTCAGTAAATACAGGGCCCAGTCTGCGGGAGGGGGCACCTTAGGCTCTGCCATATTTGACCCCATTTGACACAACCCATTGGTTCTGACTGGGGGGGAAACAGAATGGGGAGAGCAGCCAGCACCTTGTTCTTGCTCCTTCTGCTTCTTCTTTTCCAGCTTCCGCTCTTTGACGCTGCGGAGGTTGGCCTTCCCAATGCCGCCAGCCTGGCGGATGGACTCCAGCAGAGTGGCCCGGCCGCTCGACGGGTTCACAACCTCCTTTGGCGCCCCCTGAACAGCAGCTGCAGAGAGGGAGAGAAATGGGCTCTTCAAAATACCTGCCATGTGGTCCCCAGCAGGGACTGCATGCCTGAATTGGCTTTGGGGCCAGTCCAAAAGGATGCGACAAGATGCCTTGCTAAAGAGCTCTGCTGTTTTTGCCCTGGGAGCTTGGAGTTCTTGTGTTGTGGCTTTCTGAGCATCATATGTTAAACCACTCCACTCCCTCCCTCAAGGTCCCCCTGCTCTCTAGGTGCAAATCCCAGGGGAGGGACCAAGTTTGAGAAAATCTCCTTCAAAAGAGAGGTCAAGCTAATTACAAAATTAGCAAATGCTGGGTGTAGTGGCTAGAGAGACTGAGCTGCAAACCAGTAAGTCCTCAGTCAAACTCTCACCCCAGCCCTGAACTTGCTGAGCGGACTTAGGCAGGTCACTGTCAGCCTCAGCTCCTCCCCACTCCCTCTGCACCCCAAATGGGTCATATGGGGGATAGCAATGAGCAGGAGTGTGGAACCTGTGGCCCACCAGATGTTGCTAGGCTCCAACTCCCATCAACCACAGCCAGCATGGCTCAATGGTCAGAGAGGATGGGAGTCGAGCTCTAGCAATATCCTGTGGGCTGCAGGCTCCCCACCCTTCCACCTGCAGGGCTGCAGGTTAGCCACCCCTGTTGTAAGAATTACAATTAGATTGTGCAGATTCATGAACATGTGAAAGGGCTATACAATTGCATTACAATTAAATCTTC